ATGTATATGTATATATATGTATATATATATATATATATATATATATATAAATTAATTTTAGTGGGGGTTCCTGCGCTGCAGCCCATGCAACCCCGCCATAAAACCGACCCTGCGGACATGAGTGTTATTTAATACGGTCTAACAGAAGGAATGTATGGAAGTGGAGTCCAAAAATCACAGGGTTATCCGAAAAGGTCATACCAAATAGGAAGTTAGCATTTAATTTGGAAGTAATTTTTAATATGCATGTTCACTTAGTTTGCAATGTTTAAATTAACCTCACAATGAAGCTCACAACTAACTGTTTACTGTACAATGTTGTAAATAATTAAATTTATTTCTTATGTTCATAACTTCTCATCCAATATTCACCTATCGCTCTAAATATTCCTATATTTTTTATCAACGCTAATGATTTAAAAATTACGTTTTAGAAAGTCGGCCCTAGTGATATGGCTTCTTAAACACAAGTCTTCTGGCTCAAACCCGGCTGGGGGGACGTGGATTTTCAAAGAGAGGAAAATTGTATGTGAGGCATGGAAAAGAACCCTGGCTACACACCTGACAAAATTAAATCCTCCGACAATTCCCATTCTTTTAAGATTTAATATTCGTCCCACCAGAGAACAACAGAGAAAATAGGCATGTCGGAGACAGTCGTTCTGTATTTATCCTTGTCGTCGTCTTGTCACGTCCTTGGCGGTGAAACTATGAAAAAAAAAACCATATGGGTAGCGTTAGGTGCCAAACTTGAAAATGCCCCAACATCATTCAGTCCATGTTGGCGGTGGACAATGGTCATTTATACAAAACTTGGGCATTAGACACAATTCTAATATTTTTAAATTAAAAAATGTGAAAAATACCCTTTTTAGCACTTATGCGTGGAAATCTATTCTTACATTTATTGTTCTTAAATGGAAACTGTATAGAAAAAATACTTTGTCGTTTACGTGCTGAAGGAAGTCATGATCATATAAAAACTTAGTACATCAAAGTTAACAAAACACTGGTGCGACTTGGCTGCCACCTCGCATATTGTGAACGCTCATAAGATTGTATGCTTGTAATTTTCCATCAATTAGTACTACAAAATTATATATAAAACTCGTATGCAAGTATCTTTGACGTGTTCATTTGAAAATACCGGACTCGGTTCCTGTCGTTGCCTCGCCCATCAGCATTTCATCCATATGCCACACACGTCCTGTACTAGTAATATAAATAACAGACAACTTCAATACTCTTGTCACAATAACAATCAACTTGTGTGTTGTTGTTTCGAAGTTTATAAAAAGGATATCTTCATAGTGGATTCCTAGTGTAGGCACGACTCCACAACAATACATGTCCTATTGGAGGGCATAAGTCCTCAGGGTAGGCACGTGAGCTTTTGACTTAAATCCGCATCCCCCGCCGCCGCACATGTACGACAACGGGCCGACATCCGAGTCGGCCAAAACCCAGTTTGCCTCATGGCAGCCTTCCCATTCAATGCCTGGGTGCGGTTGTGCGGCTCTGCCAGCTCAGAGCTCCTAGCTGTCCAGGCTAGTACCGGAGCCAATATTGTCGAATGACAACGCGCCACTCCTTTGCGCCTGGACACCAAGTGTCTCCTCGATGCCCAGAGTATTCGGCCACTGCCACGATGAAGTCAAGAGCCCAACTGGGGGCCACCCGAACTAAGGTTCGGGCGGCTTAAGGGCCCATATCCTGTCTCCTCACTGCCTACACCTTTAGGCTACCGACGTGAGTATCGCCGAGTACCTAGCCAACCTGACGATAGGTAATTTTCCGCCAGTTTTATACGTGGATTCTAGAGCATTCCGAACAATCACCTTTACCCAATTCTGTCCAAAGTTCGCGCACAAAGGCACATCTGGTGCCCACGTCACTCGCCGGATAACCGGCAACCAGGCGCTTGATCATCGTCTACTCACTGCATCCTTGAGATTAACGACGTGAGTGCCGCCGTAAAACTAAGGGTCTCGGTTGTCACCTACAACTCTCCCCCAGAGACGGTGCAGACCGTGCAACTCTCCTCCAGAGACCCCCCACTTACGCAGACACGTAGCGTGGGGTGTGCGGTGTACTCACCGAGGTAGCGCCGGAGCAGGCGCGCGACGAAGCGGCGCCAGGCGCGGGCCTCCTCGGGGCGCGCCAGGTCACGGAAGCGGCCCGCCGGGTTGCCCATCAGCTCGAAGCCCAGCGCCAGGTCGCGTGCGTGCATCCAGTCCAGGAGCGAGTCTAGCTGCGCCCAGTCCAGCTCTCCCACGCCGCGGCGAGGCCGGACCTCGACGACGTCGCTGATGCTGCTGTTTTTGGCGGGGACGCGCTTGTTGTTGGGGGACATTCCACCCGGGGTGGCGTTCGCTTTGAGCTTCCCCTTCGTGCTTTTCTTTCGGTCCTTCTGTGCGAACGAAGGAAAACTTTCGGGGCTGCGGTCGCGATTTTTGCCTTTCAAACCGATATTCTTACCATGACGATCGCCCTTCCCTCCCCGACTTATCTCATCCCCACGACCCGCAGTAATGTGTTCACCGTGTCTTTCCGACAGACTTCCGACCTCACGGGCATCCTCGCTTACTGAGCAAAGGCTACTGTTTTCTAAATGTAATTCCTTTTCAATCTTACCACCGCAGTGGCTCCGACCTCCACGTCTCTCGCCGCCCCCTCCAAGATGCGCCATTGCAACATGGTGCCCAATGTCCCTTTCCTCTCTTCCACCGACATCGTCGTCAGTTTCATCGCGAACGGAACCCATACTTCCGTAAAAACCACTTTCACCATCCCCTGCGTCACCACGCTGCCTCTTTCCGATCTTACCACCAGGTCCTCCTCTGGATGTGCTGTTAGCCTCAAAGTATCCTTTTCCCACCCCGCCTCCTCCGTGCCGCTGCATTCCGATGTCATCTCCTCTTCCTCCATCCACGGCATCGAGCAGCGTTGAGACGGTGCTGCTGCTCACGGGGCGTCCGCGGCGGCGGGCGCGGCCGGTGTCGGCGTGGGCGGGGCGCACGAGCTCCAGCAGCCAGTGCACGCGCACGCGGCCCAGGGCGCGCTGGGGCACTGCGGCCAGCAGCGCCAGGGCGGCGCGCACGTCGCGCGACAGCAGGAACGCCTCCGCCTCTGCGCCCGGGCCCGGCGGGCTGCAACGCGCGCAGCGCAGCGCGGCCCACACTCTTCGCGCACCGTTCGTTGAGGAGCGAAATCGGGCGCGACAACTGCTAAGCTCATTAGTCCGGTAAGTGTAGTACATGCGTTTTCCTCCGCGGGTGGCGGTGATCTCCCCAGTCGGATGGCGAGATCCAGCGCCGACCTACATATTGTAACGAATATTGCATCACCTGTCGGAATTCGCTGCGCGCGGATTGCGTCCTTCCCCACGAACTGGACGATTCTGGGCTATTCGCGAGTCGTGTAGAATGTTGCGCACGTTCCCGATGGCTCGAGGCGAGCGCCGGCCAGGTATAAAGTCGCCGCTGCCGGCGACCGCTAGTTAGTTGGAAGTAAGCAGTTGCGAGTCAGTGTATGTAAGCAGTCAGTCCGTCAGTGTGAGTATGCAGTAGTCTGAAGTGGAAACTGAGTTGTGAAGTGTGCATTGCGGTGAACAGTGGTGCAGAGGGTGAACAGCAGCCAGCAGTCTGAAGTCTGCAGTAGAAGCTGAGCTGTGAAGTGTGCATCGTGGTAAACAGCAGTGCAGTGGACCCTTGTCTGAGCAGTGAAGAGTGGCCTGCGAGTGAAGTGTGGTCTGTGCACTGAAGTGTGGTCTGCGCAGGGAATTGTGGTCTGCGCAGGGAATTGTGGTCTGCGCAGGGAATTGTGGTCTGCGCAGGGAATTGTGGTCGGCGCAGTGCACCGTGAACAGTGCAGCCGACTGAGCGATAGTGTAGAAGAAGTGAACCGTGTAAATAAATTATTAGATTGCAGTGACCAGTGTAAATAAATAATCAGAAGAAGTGAACTGTGTAAATAATCAAGAGAACGGAGTCGTGTGTAAGAAAAATAATCAGATTCTGATTCAGCGCTCCGAAATACATAGAGAAACATGTGTCAAGTCTTTGGGTCTCACAACTTTGTTTTGTCTGTGTAATTGCCACTATATCTTGACGGCAATTAAACTAACCATGTAAAAACTGACGAGTTCCGACGGAGCCAAGATTTTCGATCCTAGCTCGATATCAAGATTGCGCTCTCTTTCCTGCCTCTATCTTGTCCTATCCTCGCTCCTTACTTAAACACACTCACACTTACATGCATTACACTACCGCACATGCCGGGAGACAAGTCGGGTGCTTAGAGCTTGTCCCGTCGCTGAGGCGGTGCCCCGCTGGTGGGAGATACCTGGTTGGGGGAAACCCCACTAGGCTACGGATCTGACCATCCAGCGGGGGAAGATCACAGCCACCTCCCATGATAAAACATATACTACACTAACGTGACTAATGACCTTAGCAGTTGACGATATCACTAACCAATCAATGAAAGCAAGCAATTGTCTTTAATGTGCACGATTGAAATAATAATTGCCACTCTTTCATTGTCACGATTTGATGAGACACATTGTTTGTTAAAACCTGTTCTTCAGCGAATTACATCACACTGAATTTGCTGAGCGGCAAACGTACTAAATATGAAATTTGCTTTCTGAAGTGCCCTAGCGATTATTTCTATGTATATTCATTGTGCAACAGTTATTTTGTGCTGTGAAATGTAACAATGTTATTTTGTGATGTAAGTGTAAAACCGGCATTCCCCTCTTGAGTAGGTCAAATTCAAAGCCCTCCAAATATGAAATGGATATTTTGATTTTGGAGGGAACTTCGAAGTAAGTCTCAACATTTTCAAGTTTTTTTTTCTTTTCAAAACTGGCTCCAATTTTTTTTATTGGAGAATACGGCGCTTAAAAGGATACCGCAAGTCTCATTTTCATTGAACTCTCTTTTTTTTCTTCCTGGGCGTTTCCCAGCTTGAAGGGTTGTCGATTTCTACTATTCGCGCCAGGTATTACTCGGGCAACTTTTCTTGAACGATGGATTGACGATTTAGGGTGGAGTGGGAGGTATTAGTTACAAAGTCGGCCACTAGAGTATTTTAAGTAACGCCAACGTCTGTGAAATGAAAGTTAAAACTGCATCTTGTGCTTAACTGTTCGGGAGTTTTAGGTGACTCCCTTGAAGGATTTGGACCTGATTCAGCCATTTCTTTCGATATTGACAATAAACCTGAACAGGGGTTCTGCACTATGAAAGCAACTGGCTTTGAATAGCTTCTGTTTCGCGCCAACGAAATTTTAATGCTTGGAAGGTTGTTATCAGTCCCCGCTGCGAGCTTTTGCCTTCAACTGTTTATTGCACAAGGGAGGGGGATCAAGGTCATCGTTCAAGAAAAGTTGCGCGAGTAATACCCTCTACGTCCCTCATGGAGACACACATTAACCTAGTAAAAACACCAGAACCACTTGCGGGCTCCTCGGTCTGTGGTCAGTAGACTCATGAGGCTTTCCGCAACAACCCACATAGATAGAAAGCAAGCATGGGACCCTTCAAACCCAGATACTGATTCGGCACACGCTCTATTACGCGGGTTGTTGCCGAAGGTCTTGCGAGTCTACTGACCACAGACCGAGGAGCCTGCAAGTAGGTCTAGTGTTTCTACTAGGTTATCGTGTGTCCCCATGAGGGACATAGTGGGTACCCGACGTGTATAACCACCTCGGCCATCCAGATCGGCTTTCGCTGCACTCTTTTACTTTTCGAAAATTGCAAAAGTTTAACTTTTTTCGGCGACATTCTACAAATAGAATATTGAAGAGAGATTTATTCATTTTCTTGTTACTGCTTACGTAGTATAGATAAAGTTTTGTAATGCTGCGGGAAACAAACGGCGAATTTTCGACAGAAAAACTCATTGCCGGTCCCTGGTAACGAAAAAGTGGTTGAATTTCGTATATCTAATCAATTACTTTCACAAACATGTTGTGTAGTCAGAAGCCATGTTTTGTGGGTCCTTGATACAGAAAAATCGATTGATGGTAAAATGTTGGCCGTTTTTGATTTTACTACGCCGCACTGACAAAAAAAGCAGTAGTGACGGCAGCCGCTGGTTCGCGTTATTGTAAACTAATACTTTTATTATGGCAAAATACGCACCGGGCATCTTTGGTACGTTTATGTGAATACTGATAATACTACATACAGTTGTAGAATACTGATAATACTACATGATACGTCACATTCAGTTTTTTTTTACTGTTTTTTGACTAAGTAAATCTAATTTAATCTACTAATACACTAAATTAAGTAGCAAAAAGCAGTAAATGTTTGAATTAGAGAATATATGTATTTTCCGCGCTTATTGTTAAAGAAACTTTCAAATAGTAGCTGAAGTGTAAGACAGATATTGTCACATAATATTGCATAATTATTAACGGCATTGCGAGAAAGTATGTGCTTTTGCAGTACCACTAGTTCGTTAATGAAATCTGTTCGACAAAGACAGCTCTTTAAATAAGGTCATATACCATTTTTCGAAAGTATAAGTAGTTACATAATACAATTCCACAATTTCTGTTCATGTTAATATATCTCAGCCATTAATTTTAAAACATCGTAGCACATTACGTGTAAAAACTACTAGTTTCGAAGCGAATACAAGAACATAAGTTCGAAATCAACAATGCAAAACTACATACGCGTACGCGCGTAGAGAACGTAGTAATTCTGAGACAGCATTCGACACGAGAAGAGACAGAAAATATAGAGGCTTCGTGTAATCTACCCTCAAAAATATCCTTTTCAAACTCGCAGAACCTCAAGTTCGTTCATATTGAAGTGAATCATCTAAATACTTATTAATTTCTATAATATTAAATACTTATAATTTTCTTTTAAATACTTATAATTTTTATAATATTATTAATTTACTTTTAAACTATTTACTATATTTTACGGTCTCGTATTGGGCCTACCATTGAAGTGAATCAAAATAATTTCTACTTATAATCTTTTCTCTCTCTTATTGTAATTAATGGAGTGGCTAGCTCTGATTTTAATTTAATTTTCTGGGCGTCAACAAACTCACGTTTCTAAGGATCCTAATCTTGTCTCGCGGGCGTGAAAATACCTCTCGTACGAGTGTTCGGGTGGTGAACAATTTAATTATTGTTAGGTAATCTTTGTTACTATTAAATTAAAACAACTACAAATTTTGCTTATGATTTGCCAGCGACTTTAGGTGTCAGCTGACAAGATTTATTCAATTCGACTTCCTTCTTAATTAACTTTGTTCAACAATGTATTTTTCTATTTCTTCATTGTTTCCATTGATGGCCATCAAACTCCTACCAACAAAACACACATTTAAACACATTCTTTCTTAATCTTAATGTTTACTTAATATTTAAACATGAGTTGGCCTACATATAATATTTTTATTAATGTCTGTCACTCGTATTGCCTAAACTTCTCTTTTGCAGAATGTACAGCAATCTTGGCATTGTTAATGACTTCAGCAACTGTTCCAATTCCATTTGGAGCCCTTATATCCACACTGAATTTTAACTAATAAACTTCTTATTCTTAGTCGCGATCTATTTATCCCACGAATATTACAGACTTTTTTTTTCGAAAAATCTCATTTAAATTACTTCGTTGCTCTTCCGTTACCCGTCGACCACATGTCCGTTTTATATCTCCTCGAACTAATCACAAAAATATTACTACACAATGCTTTGACGGCTATCGATCCTCACTCTATCAAATCGGAGATCCGTCTGTCTGAAATTCCTCGTTTACACTTTCTATCTGGCCTCACCGGTTCACTTGTTTCATTGTTATCTTTTTTCGTCGATGCGCTCTTGTCGCACCGCAACTATGTACCTCAAGCGTCATTTGTCACCTATCAACAATGTCATATAATATTTCTTTGCTATACTTTTGGAAAAACCCTAAATTGACCAAATTTTTAATTAAATCCACTTAATATTAGAATTTTCTGATACTTTACGTTCTCATCGTCTCGTATTAATTTATTTCATTAAGCAATTTATTACAATTTGCGAGCTATTGGACATTTATGTTTTTGATTCTAAATGTCAAAAATCCCTTTAGGTATTTTGCCTTGCCTCAGTATCGATTGGAGAATATCAATTTTGGAGTAAATTGTCTGAAAGGTTTAGGCGCTAGCATTGACCACATGCAAACTAACGTTTTGCCGTCAGTCGATTTTTCGGTATCAAGGACCCAGAAAACGCGCATTATGACTTCACAACGAAATAGAAGTAGTAATTCATTATATTTAGGAACATCATTAATCCACTTTTTCGTTACCAGGGCCCCATGAGAAGATTTTTTTCTATCGAAAAATGTCAGATTTCTTCCGAAGCATTACGATACTTTCTCTTTACTATGTAAGTACATAGTATGACGAGAAAGTAAAACTGCCGTTATCTTGAAATTACAGGCACTCCAATTTCATTTTTATAGTATAAGATCGAGCAACATACCTAAATCCTGTATTGGCCCAAAAGTGATGAAGAGGTCCAATAGGAATTGCTGCAGTGTCAACCTCCACATACGGGCTTGCAGCAATCATCGTATGCGATAATGCAGCTACCCACAAAAGTCCTAATGTCCACATCTGTAAATCACAATCGAAAAGGCTTTCTTTTTTCTCGTTTCTAGTTTCGACTACAATATGTGAATATAATACCCTTATCTGCCTGCTTTAAATATACAATTATTAAAATCCTACAACTTAATAATAATAATATGTATTTTGAATATATATTGGTATGAATATATGTGTATGAAAATCATAATCATCCTCACTTACGAATTAATTAAAATTACATTTATTTTTAAACCTATGTTAAAACAGATCATATAAGTTTGTTCCATTATTTGTATTGTCGGTCTAGTGACGCGAGAAACCCGTTAAAAAAATATACGAGAATGTACAACAAAGATTTTTTATTTAAATATTCCGCTTCTTTCCATTCGTTCCGCTCCACTCTTTCCATTCGTCGAAACCACTTGTAACGAGCTCGATGTATCGATGTTCCAATACCCGTTTGACAAAACACTGACGCTCTCGTTTCTCGTAACGTCATGCGACCTTACGCCAGGAAATCCGAAATACGAAGTGTCAACTCCACTCCACAGCTGTGTCATTCAGTCGTGCAGTCGCGTTCTGGTCGCGTCTGTACCTTGTGGCATCAGTTGATGCAGTGTGTTCGCCGCATGAAATTGCATTTATCGCAAACACGCATAGTAAAAACTGTTGTCTTATGTGAGTGATGAGTTTCATATGCGTTTCGCCTTAAGTCCGTGAATGGATCGTTCGTGCTAGCCTGAAGTGTGACTTATGTTCACTTTGTGGAATAAGAACTAGCAAGAAATGCCTTTAAATAATTTCCCCGCTCAGTTCATAGTGCTGTTTGTCATTTATACATCTTTGACATTCATTTCGTGTAGCGATCCCCATTGCGTGTGGTATGGAGAATGTAACTCTGATAGGAATCTACACAAACAGAATTGCGTCTACAATGGAACGGCGAAGCCTTTAGAAGACAAACCAGCATTAAAAATTCTTCGGGATTGGTGCCCTCATTTCCCAAATGATGGCAATGTTAGAACATGCTGTGATCCTAATCAACTGCAGACAATGAGCTCAAATTTAGCTCAAGCAGCTGCTATCGTGAAACGTTGCCCGTCTTGCTTGCAAAACCTCGTTAATCATATATGTGATGTGACGTGCTCAGTGAATCAGTCGGATTTTATGAATGTTACAAAAGTGAAGACTAATGTAACAACTGGAAAAAAGTATATTACTTCTGTGGATATACACATTTCAAATAAATATGTTTTTGGGACCTATGATTCCTGTAAATATGTGTCTGTACCGTCATCTGGACAACTTGCAATGGATATGATGTGTGGTGATTGGGGAGCAAGTGCATGTTCAGCGACTAAATGGTTTAAGTTCCTTGGCAGCACAAAAGAAAATCCTTTTGCGCCATTTCAAATGACATACAAATTCTATGACAAACCTTTCAAAGACTTTAAACCATTAAATCCACATGTGACACCATGCAATGAATCGGTAAATGAAAATTCAACAGCTTGCAGTTGTATTGATTGCGAAGGAAGTTGTCCCATACCTCCACCAATTCCAGAACCTCCAAAGCCATTTGAAATATTTGGTTTTGATGGGTATATTTTTGTAATTATTCTCATGTATGTAGTTACAACAGGAATATTCCTCATCTACATTTGGGTTGTTCCCAATAAACTAATGGTAGTGGCAAGAGACGAAACAGAGTATGGGTCTCCATCTCAAAGATCAAGAATGCACACCCCCACATTCCCTTCAGACTCTCCAAGTAATAAAAATGAGACCCTAGGAGAAGAAGGAAACATTCAAAATGTATCTGAAGAAAAAACATGGTTTTTGCAACGAACTGGAAATGCCCTTGAAAAAGCTCTGGAAAATGGATTTTACAAATGGGGTGTTTGGTGTGCTCAGCATCCGTGGTTAGTGTTGTGTGTTGGCATAGTTGCAGCTGTTGGCCTTGGATGTGGCATAAAATTTTTGCATGTTACAACGGATCCTGTAGAGCTTTGGGCAGCTCCAGATAGTCGTTCTCGAATGGAGCGAGAATACTTCGACAGGCATTTTGAACCATTCTACAGAACAGAACAAGTAATCATACGTTCAGTAGGATTGGACAGAGTATATCATAACACATCTGAAGGGGAGCTGGTATTTGGACCTGTGTTTCAACGGGAATTTCTTTACGCAGTGCTAGACCTACAAAATAAGATTCTGTCAATTGGACAAAAAGAAAACAAAGGGCTCGAAAAGATTTGCTTTGCACCTATGTCTTCTGTTTTTACTGGAACAGTGAATGTGGAACAATGTGTTGTGCAAAGTATATGGGGCTACTATCAGAATAGTATTGAAAATTTCAATTATACAGACACAGACCCCGATGGCTACATTACGAATTATTTAGATACCTTCAAGAAATGTTCTCAGAATCGATACAATGTTGACTGCCTTGCACCCTATGGTGGTCCAGTTGATCCCGCTATAGCATTAGGTGGTTTTTTAAAACCTGGGGAAAACTTGCAAGATCATCCAAATTATGACAACGCCAGTGCAGTTATCCTCACATTTCTTGTCAATAACCATAACAATAAAACCAATCTTGCTCCAGCCCTAGAATGGGAAAAGAAATTTATTGATTTTATGAAGAACTGGATAAAAACTAAACCTGATTTCATGGATGTTGCGTTCACATCTGAACGTTCGATTGAAGATGAATTAGATAGGAGTTCCCACTCGGATATTTTTACCATTTTAGTCAGCTACCTTATAATGTTTGTGTATATCACTATATCCTTGGGACATATTCGAAACTCTAGTCATTTTCTGATAGACAGTAAAATAACATTGGGATTGTGTGGAGTGATGATTGTATTGGTATCTGTTGCTTGTTCAGTAGGATTTTTTGGTTACATGGGCATTCCAGCAACCCTCATAATTGTAGAGGTAATTCCATTCCTTGTGTTGGCTGTAGGTGTTGACAATATATTCATTTTAGTGCAGACACATCAGCGAGAAGGTGTCATGCCTGGAGAAAGTTGTGCTCAGCATGTGGGACGAACATTGGGAGCTGTGGGACCTTCCATGTTACTCACAACTGTTTCAGAATGCTGTTGTTTCTTTTTAGGTGGACTTTCTGATATGCCAGCTGTGCATGCCTTTGCATTATATGCTGGACTAGCCCTTTTTATTGATTTTGTACTTCAAATAACATGTTTTGTTAGCCTTCTTGCACTTGATTCAGAACGGCAGTCTGAGAACAGATTAGATGTTTGTTGCTGTTGCAGGGGCTCGTACTCTTTTGAAGAAGCAAACGGAGAAGGATTTCTTTATAGATTTTTCAAAAAAAGATATGCTCCTTTTATTTTAAGTAAACCTGTGCGCCCTGTGGTATTAATATTGTTTTGGGGACTGTTTTGTGTAAGTATAGCTGTGGGACCACGGGTTGAAGTTGGATTAGAGCAAGAACTGTCAATGCCTGAAGACTCGCATGTGATGAAATATTTTGAGTTTCTGAAAGATTATCTTTCCATAGGGCCTCCTGTATATTTTGTTGTGCGATCTGGATTGAATTACACAGATCCTACAGTGCAGAATGTGATTTGCAGTGGCCAGTTTTGTGACAGTGACTCTCTAACATCTCAAATATATATCGCTTCAAAACGGCAAAATATGACATATATTGCTCATGCAGCTTCTTCCTGGTTAGATGATTACTTTGATTGGTCTTCTCTTTCAAATTGCTGCCAATATTACCCCCAAAATCATTCATATTGTCCACGTGAAATGCCAAATTGTTTACCATGTCGTATCCCTCATAATAAGATGAATCGGCCTCTGAATTCATCAATTTTTGATCACTATTTGCAGTTCTTTTTGGAAGATAACCCTGATTCACAATGTGCAAAAGGAGGACATGCAGCATATTCACATGCTGTCAATTATGTGAAAGGTACAAATAACATATCTGAAGTTGGTGCTTCCTATTTTATGACTTATCATACTGTGCTAAAAACTTCGAAGGATTATTATGAAGCTCTTGCTGCTGCTCGTGAAGTGGCTGACAATGTGACTAAGACCATAAATTCTGATCTGAGCATGAAAGCTAATGAGACTATCGAAGTATTTCCTTACAGCGTTTTTTATGTATTTTATGAACAGTATTTAGGAATGTGGTACATTACTTTGAGAAGCTTGTTGGTCTCAGTGTTAGTGATTTTTGTTGTTACTTTCATTTTAATAGGCTTGAACTTCATGGGATCTGTGATAGTGATGATAACAATATCAATGATTCTTGCAAATATTATTGGACTTATGTACTGGTGGAATATTTCTTTAAATGCGGTCTCTCTTGTGAATTTGGTGATGGCAATGGGTATATCTGTTGAATTTTGTAGTCACATTGTTCATTACTTTATCAATTCATCAAAGAAATCAAGACTACATCGTGCCTTAGATTCTCTTATAAATATGGGTACGTCTGTATTGTCAGGAATCACATTGACAAAATTCCTTGGCATAGCTGTGCTTGCGTTTGCTCATTCTGAAATATTTAGGGTTTTCTACTTTAGAATGTATTTAGGAATAATTATTTATGGTTGTTTGCATGGGCTTGTTTTCTTGCCTGTTCTCTTAAGTTATTTAGGACCTAATGGCCAGGGAATAGTTCATGTTTATCGTGAAGGCTACACGCCAATTCCCTCTTCTGATATCGTTGAAGAGACAAGTAGAGAGGTAAATATTCAAAAGTAAGATGTTACATGTTTTTTAATGTGCCTTGCTGTCGTTTTAAAATTTCTGAGAGTGCCATTGATAATTATTTTTACTAAAATACTATTTAGAGCAGATATTGAGTGAGAGTTATTTTAAGTGACACTATATATGTAAATACGTTATTAAGCTAGTCATATTGTTTTTGTCCCATTGAAAACAGATTTTATTATTGAAAATGAGCAAAATAAAACATGATTTTGCGTTCTATTTTATAACAGCAATTTCTCAATAAATTTTAATAGTGCATAAAAACAAAAAATATCCACTTGTCTTGAATTATTGTACACAAGTGTTGCAGTTTCATTGTATATTACATTTATCATACCATTTTGTATTGATTAATGTAAATAAATAAGAGTTTTAATTACGAAGTGTGTTTTCTTGTTCTCAAAACTTTTTTGCAGAAATACGGTTTTAAATGTAAAGACAAGTTTTAATGGAAACGGCAAATGATATTGATCAAAATGTGCGAAAAGCTAGGGATCAGGAGTTTTCGCAATTTTCAATTAATAATATCATCTTCAATTAATCTGTAATTAACAAGGCTTGTTTTTACATTCCATTATCCATTAATGAGGGAAGGGAGAGGAGAGACCAAGCATCGCTATCTGGAATATTCCAGAGGGCACTGCTGGGGCACTGGACCAAACTGAAAGTAACCCATAATACTTTCTGACGCTACCTATTTATACCCTGATTTTTCTATAGTGGCCGATGACATTACTTCATTGTTACACCTTCTGCTTTACAAAATGAATTATTTTAACAGTGGTAAGCACATTTCTCAGTTCACGAGCCCCGGTGAGGAGGTTCGCGAATTAAAAGTATTCATTTTATACGGCAGGTGATGTAACTGTCATCGGCCACTATAGAACAATTGAAGTATACTATTGCCAACATTCCGGAATCACGATATGAAAGTACTTTGGAGCAACAATCACACTGCAACAGTGGAACAGAAGAATATTGAAGTATTCCTACGAAAGTGAGTGACAGATAACATGAATAGAGTTTATAGGCAGTTACTAACCACAAATTCGGTGTACATATACTTGTTTTCGAAACAAGTCTGTACAAAAGTGTTTTCCACTTTGCCCATTAGAAGAGGTTATGAGGGTCCCTACACTACTTCATTAACCGCGAGAACATTATTCACCAATTCTTTATACTACGCTGAAAACGGAAAACTAAGTACTACAGCTCCCGTGCTAGGTAAAGTGGATTCAAAGTTCTATCTTGCTTTTACTTGTAAAAAATGCAATACTCGAAACTCAAAACTTATTTCCAAAGTTGCTTATGAAAAAGGTGTGGTAATTGTGACTTGTGAAGGATGTTCTAATCATCATCTTATAGCCGACAATTTAAAATGGTTCACCGACCTCGAAGGGAAAACAAATATTGAAGAAATACTGGCAGCTAGGGGAGAAACTGTAAGACGGTCATTACATCACGGTGAGAACGGGGTGATGCAATTCAACGAACAGGATTCGTTATTGGGAAAAGATGAACAATGAATGTATAGTTGCCGTATTTGGCAAATTGATACATTTTTTCACAGTGGTCATCTCGAAAGAGCCAATTAAACCAAAGGTGGCGTGTGTGATGTTGATCCATTATATAATATATCCAAAGTATGACTATAGAAGAATATTTTGTTCCATCGTAGTATGACACGTTTTCGAGTGAAATATAATATAATAGCAAAACGTTCTCAGCGTACGAAACTGAACCTTCGTTATACTATTGAGGCTGCATGAATTGCACCATTGGTTAATAGAACCAATTAAACAGGAGGTTTTCTGAACTGTCATTTTGGAGCGGCATTTGTGGTACGTTGTGGCGTGCGTGTAACCCGAAGCGTTTGAGTACTATACTACATTACCAAAAGCTTCCATCACAGGCACCATAATCAGCTGTGAGATTTGTGTCTGCAAATATTGTAAACTGCGCATTTTATTTATTTCAAAAGCTGTGTACTTACTGGTAAGTTTAAAAGCAGCGCCGAGGAATTCTCTGGAAAATTCACGCAAGTGACATTCCCAAGGAACTTACATCGAAGATGTTAGTTGCGTACCGCATTGTGTACAGTGGAAACGAGTTCACGAATCATTGGTACTCACTTTCTTAGCATTTTTATTAGTTTGGTTACTGTGTTTGGAATTTGTAGTGTTCAGTAATTGACAAACTCTGATTCTGAATCCCTCGTTATGACTGACAAAGAGCGTACGTCTTTGAAACGTGCCGATGAAGAGGATCGACTTTCAGAGAAGTCAATGGTACGTTTCATTTCTTTTTTAATGTGAAACGAAATTCGGCAAATTTTGTGGTTCTGTATTATAATGCCTGTGTGCTTTTTCCTACATAGGTTCCAATGGACCTCCAATCGCTAAGTGACTTCGCGCCCGTTGATGAGTGGAGAAACTGCCCATCTCCTGATTCCCCCCGAAAACATGTAAAATCTACTGCAGTAGTAAAATATTCTACTGTTCAGTCTTTGGCAAACTTCGCTGTTCTGCAGTGCAATACGGATCTTAATTCTCCCCCATCTAATTGGCTAAGCAGTTCAGCTGATTCCTATGGATTACAGCATGTTCCTTCTCATTCTACAGGTTTTTCAAGGTTTGCATTTTATAACATTTTGTTTACAATTACAGTTGATTGTTGTCAGAGATTTTAAGATGTATGATGTTATGAGATTTTAAGATGTACTTAAGTTCAGTGCATTCACTCAGCATCATCCAATATGCACATCATAGATACTTGGTAATGAAAATGAAAAATGCTCAACATTTTAGCATGCCAATTAACTATTTTTTCTGTTTGTTTTTTTTCAGCTTTCGCATGGCACACATGTTTCCAGAATGTGTTGGAGAAGTAGATGTGGTGTCAGATGCAGAGAACATAAAAAAGTTACTAAAGATTCCGTACAGTAAAGGACCTGTGGGTATTCAAATAGTTTGTGTGATGACATTTTAAATTTGACAAGGTACACATTACTATGTACAATGATTTTCTTTTAGGTTAGCATGATGGTCCACCGTATTGAAAATACACTTCTTATTGATGAATTCGACATACACAAATATTTACTTCGGACCGCAGAGTCAGAATGGGAATGGTTGAAGAAATTTTTTTTTGAGCATGTGTTGCAATCTTTGAATGAGAAGGTGAGTTAGAAGTATCTATTGTTCTACTATAAGTAAAATAGTAGTATCTAAAGTAAACATTTCAAAATCTGAGAATACAGCTGATATATACTAATGCTGCAATGAATGGTGAAGACCAATTACTTAGAATATTTAATTAAAGCTTCTAGCCCATTGATTGCATGCTTTTAGATTTCACATTTAGCCTTTAATTAGTATAGCAAATAGAAAAGTGAAGAGGAGTCTTATATGTTTGTCCTGAGCATGAATTGAATTTTTTTAATCCTGATTCTCTCACATCTGTTCGCACGCCTCCTGACCGTGTCTAGATCCGCGAACGCCTGGCCACTGCCTGCCTACAGTTAGTCCGCACGCCTGCCTGCCTGTCTGTCCGCACTGCCTGCCTGCCTGCCTGTCTGTCCGCACGCCTGACTGCCTGGCTTCTGTCCGCGATGCCTGCCTGCCTGCCTGCATGTCTAGTCGCACGCACGCTGCTAGCCTGACCTGCCTGCTCTTCGTCTGTCCGCACGCCTGCCATGCCGTGTCTGTCCCACTCGCGAACAAGTCTGCCTGCCTGATCTGTCCGCACGCCTTCCTGCCTGCCTGTCCTGTCTGCCGCACGCCGCATGCCTGCCCTGCTTCTGTTCCGCACGCCTGCCTGCTGCCCGGTTACATGTCCGCGCGTCCTGCACCGCCTGGCTGCCTGTCTGTCGCCCGCCTGCTCTGCGTCGAGCCGCTCGCCTGTCCCACGCTGTCCTGTCGTCCGCAGGCTCCTTGCCTGTCTCTCGCCGCTGTGCGTCTGTCTGTCCGCACGCTGCCTGCTGCCCTGAACTGTCTTTCCGCACGCCTGCCTGCCTTCTGTCTGTCCGCACGCCTGCCTGCTGTCTGTCCGCCAGCATGCCTGCTGCCTGTCTGTCGCACCGCACGCCTGACCTGCTCGTTTCCGCACGCCTGCCTTGCTCTGATACTGTCCCCGCCTGACCTGCCTGTCTTGTCCGCAGCTGCCCTGCCTTCTGTACGCACTGCGCCTTCTGTCCGCACTGCGCTGCTTCGCACGCCTGCTGCTGTCTGCGCCACGCCTGCCTGCTGTCGTCCGCAGCTGCTCTGTCTGTCCGCACCCTGGCCTGCCTGTCTGTCCGGCAGCGACCTGACCTGCCTGTCTGTCCGACACGCTCCTGCCTGGCCCAGTGCTGCTGTCTAGTCCGCACCGCCTGCTGCCTGTGCTGGTCCGGCACGCCTGCCTAGCGCTGTCTGTCCGCAGGTGCCTGCACTGTCTGGTCTGTCCGCACTCGCCCCTGCCGTCAGCCTGCCTGCCTGTCTGTCTTGTCCGCACGACTGCCTGTCCTGCTGTCTGTCCGCACGCCTGCCTGGCCTGCTGTTCTGTCCGAACGCCGTGCCTGCCGTCTGTCTGTCCGCACGCCTGCCTGCCTTGTCCTGTCCGATCTGCCTGACGCCTTCTGTCGCGTACGCCTGCCTGTCCTGTCTGTCCGCATGCTGCCTGCCCTGCCTGTCTGTCCAGCACGCCTGCCTGCCTGTAGTCTGTCCGCACGCCTGCCTGCACTGTTCTGTCCGCACGCACTGCCTAGCACTGTCTGTCCAGCACGACCTTGCTGCTGCCTGTCCAGCACGCCTTGCCTGCCTGCCTAGTCCGACGCCTGCCCTGCCTTGTCTGTCCGGCACTGTGCCATGCCTGCCTAGTCTGCAACGCTCTGTGCCTGCCTGTCCTGTCGCATGCTGCCTGCCTGTCTGCACGCCTGCGCTCCGCTGCACTGCTGCTGTCATTGAATCTCCTGCTGCGGCCTGCGCCTGCCTGCCTGTCTGTCCGCACAGGCCTGCTTCTGTGCACCTGTCTGTCGCACGCCTGTCTGTCCGTCTGTCAGTCCATCTGTCCGGCCGCCTAAATCAATCAGCTTCTCTCTATCCGTCCGTGCGTCCCTCTCTCTGCCACGGATGGGCCGACAGAGAGAGGCTGGCAGACAGAAGGACCGATAGAGGGGCAGGTAGACAGAAAGAGGGAGAGAGAGGGAGATGTCTATCCGTCTTCTCTCTCTGTTCAACTGTTCACCTGCTTTTTATTTCTCTATCCACCTGTCTCTCGATGCATCCGTCTGTGGTTAATGCAAGCATCATACTTTTTTTTTTTTTTGCTCGATTTACTGAAAACTGATCTGCCCCAATTGCTCTAAAGGAACTTGAGGGCAGTAGCAGCCAGTGGGTTGCAAGTTAAGAGGTGCAGCATTTATGTCCAAAGTATCACATACCTTTTACCTCTTCAAAATATTTTTTTGTATGAGGAAAACATTAGCATGTACTATCGATGTGTACATATCAGGATTTTTATCCTTGTCTACGACAACTTTTACATTAATAACAGAAGAATCACTTGTGCTCACAAGAAAGTAAGAGATTTAAAAAAAAATATTTCCAGTAACCCAAACAGTAATTTATTAAATCAGATGATTCGGAATTCTTAGTTTAGTTATTAGTCGCAGACTCTGTTGGTCAAAACCCTAATAGGAACATTCTGCCTTATCCAACTTCCAGTACCCCCTCTCTTTCTCAAGTTTGCATTGCCTATATGCGCCAGCTACAGATGGACTCCTGATACTCCACAATGCGACCCATTCCAAAAACATGGATCTTTTACTTAATCAGGCACTTAAGACTAAATTCTTTCTGAAGAATTGGCTCGGTAGGGGACAGTGCTTGTTCATGGAAGACTACGCTAACTGTGCGAGGAAAGATCTGCTCACACGGGAACCAACAGTGGCTGTGGATTAATTTGATTTTCTGTGACTTGAGTGTCCATTACCGTTGTATTGCGAGCCAAAACTCAAGTGTGTTGGTATGGTAAAGAACAGTTGTTCAAAAGGTCCTGCACTGCCTCAACTGTAATTGTGTATTTCATGATAGCTGTATCAAATGTGCCCTCGTTTTTATTGGTGCATTACTACTACGGTAGAGTTAATGGATTCCTGAAAACCTTCTTCCTCATCATGCATTGCATCTAAGACAAAGTTAGCAGAATTATTCAAATCTGAGATACTGAAACTGCCCAATGTTATAAAATCTGAGTTTTCATTGGTTTATCCAGTCTTGGACAAGTCCTGCTTTATGATGACAGTGTAGACCTGAATGAACACTGGCCTCCCTTCAAAATCCCAACCCTGGATATCCTCGACCACCATATACCAGCACCGTCGAAACTGAAAAATAAATCAAAGCCATGGATTAACAATCAACTCTGTGTAAAATATAACATTAGAAAAACATCTAGAATGTATACTGTATAACTGATTTGTCTTTATCCATCAAAATACAAATTTCTCCGAAATGAGGTCAATGATATTCTGCGGAGAGAACAGGAAACAGTATGAACATAAGATTCCCAAGGGCAAAAACAAACAATTATATGCTTACATCTAACATCAGACATTTTGTTGAATACCAGCAATCTCTTTGCGTCCAGGCCATTATCTCCGACCCCATTCTAATCACTGAATAGTTTTCCATAGAATTTCGGAAATTGAACAAAATTGAACCAGATAGCGCACTACTTGCTCTACAAGGCAAAGCAACTACCAATCTCCACCTGGATTTCCAAGCGGATGATGTATATAACAGTATGAATATGACAGTAAATGTAAAGAACAATAATTGCAAAGGCAATCTTAAACTTAAATTGCAATTTTTTGTTCTTCGTGCAAGAAACTGTTTCATTCAAGTTGTCCAAAGAGAACCTTATCAGCTGACTCTGGAAATTGTAATACTTGCTCTGGTCCTGCAATGTCTTCCGCTAATAAAGGCGCTTCCAAACTTAGCCAAGTACTTGAAATAATCAAAATATCTTCAGCAGAACTAAATGATCATCTAGATGCTGTGAATGAAGACATCAAAATTCAGTTGTTGAGTTCAGACACTTGAGGCCAAATTTGAAAAGAAATAAACTGATATGGATATCAAGATTTCTGAATTATCATCTACTACAGCAAATTTGGAAATTAGATTGACTGCTGCTGAAGGTAAGATTTCATCTATAGAGGGTAATATTCTAAGTCTCTTAGTAGGCTTTACGTCAAAACAATGACATTGTTTATGGCTTCAATGAGGACTAATTCCACCCAAGATGAAATTTAAACTTTTTGAAAATTTGTCTGTGGACACATTAAACACTGCCATGCATTGTTTAATGGTTGGAAGATTTGTTACAGATAGCCCTAAACCGAGGCCTCTAAAAATTGTTTGTACATCTGGAAGTACTGACAGCTTTATTTAAACCTTTTGGATGTGGCATAAGGTCACTCAACGTTCAATGCAGAACTATCAGTTACACGAGACAGAACTCCTCAACTCGCCCAATTCTCAATGCTCAAACAACAACTCAAACAGAAGTCTATAGAGGAATAACTAAATTGGACTATTGTTTTATAGGCAACTGATGAAGAAATGTCGTGAATCTCTGCCAATATAAATAATTACTACACTCCTATTAAACTGTATTGCTATTATGAAAATGTTCGGAGTATTTCCAAAAAACTAACTTCTTTGCTTTGCTATGATTTATCAACTTTGGATCTTATATGTATTACAAAAACTTAGCTTCAAAAAAATGCATTATCTTCCGAGTTTATTGATGTCAATGAATATGATATTTTTTCATAAAGATCGCTTCAGTCGATCAGGTAGAGCAATTTGCATGCGCTTAGATGTTTCTCCTATTGATTTCTATAATATTGATATTGTTGGGGTCAAACTACACTTTCAATACTTGGTGATAATAGTTTTAGTAGTTTACATACCTCCAGATATAGTCTTAACCGATCGTAGACTCTTTTGTAATGAACTTACGATACTTCAATGTCTTTGGTGAGATAAAATTATTATGATTGGTGAATTTCGTTGTCCCAAATATATTGGTTTTCGCTCTTACGCTCTTCTCTTGATTCTAAATCTAATATAGTATTGTCAAAATGTTTTAATATTTTACAGTATAATTGTATAAATAATTAACGGTAAATTTCTTGTCTTGTTATTTGCTTTTATTCATTGTAATGTAACTCTTTCTTTAGATTGTATATTTAATATGGATACGTATCATCGTCCTTTGTATTTCGATTCTTACTTCCAAGTAACAAGACCAGAAGTAGTCAATTTTCCAATGTCAAGGAAATCTGCATGTCACAGTTCTAAAAAAAGCCAAATTCTCTGTTATTAATCAGCAACTCTTAATGGACAACCATTTTTGAAGATTGTAAAAGTACTTGCGTTAATTATCAAAGTGACCAATTCTATGAAAAATAATTATGTATCATTATTGATTGTAATATCCTCTTAGTTTCAACCAGATCTTAAAATTATTTACCATGGTTTAATGCTGACACCATTCATCAAATAAAATAAAATTCTTTAAAAGTACTGGACAGGAAATTATGACCTGTTTTTGATATCAAACTTTTAAGTGCTAAAATTTAAAAAAATATCCAAGTTCTATATGCACACTACAAGAGGCATATTGAAATATTTAATTAGTAATAGATCATGATTTTTGTCTCTGACAATGTTCAAATCTAAATTTACTCGCATTTCAATGTATCTAATGTGTGATGTAACACCCAATAACGAGCCCAAGACTAATGTAAATACTTTTGCATCATTTTTTGAAAAATCATTTACAAATGTAGATCCTTTACGTTATTCTCAAATTGCTCACATTGATGGATTATTGGGAAATATCTTATACATTGATCCAGAATTTATATTTCATAAATTAAGAAATATGTCCAATAAGTAACTTGCGGCCCAGATGATATACCCTCATTTTTCTTCAGCGAATGTTCAAAATCACTTGTTTTTCCTTTGCACTTGATTTTTGTGAAAGCACTCATGGGGAAGCACAAATTCATGGAATTCCAGATGTCTGGAAAGTTGGATTCTAGCAATTATAGACAGATAAGTCTGACAAGCACTGTTTGTAAGGTTATTGAGCACCTTATTGTAAATAAACAAGATTTTGCCCAACACAAAGGTCTCATACCACTAGAACAACAGAGGTTTGGCCCAAACAGACCCACAACCACCAACTTGTTTCCTTGTAGATAAACTTGGATTAGAGACCTTCATAACAAAAAACTGATGTCATCTGCATGAACTTTGAAAAAGCATTTGATAAGGTTCCCTACCAGCATCTGTTTCACAAACGTTTTCATTTTGGCATCCATGGCAAGCTCCTCATGTGGTTGAAATCCTTTTTCACTGAAAGGATATTCCAAGTCAAGATTGGATCTAAAGTATCATCCCTTTGTCCTATTACCAGCAGAGTTCCTTAAGGATCGGTGCTCGAGCCAATACTGTTTATTATTTACACTAGTGATATCACACACAATGTGAATAACATTTTCTCCATGTACACTGATGATACCAAACTCTATGCCAATCCACTTGAAAACTACCATCACCTACAAATCGACATTGATAATGTCTTCAAATGATCAGAGAAATGACTACTCCCACTTAATGAGTTCAAATGTACAATGCTACTCATAGCTAAAAATAATTCACACCACCAGTACAACATTAACAGCCATATCATTCAGGCATCATCGTGGGTCAAAGATTTCACGATTATATTCAATCAAATCACAAAAGTGTACAATATTGATGATAGAGATTTTTTTTAATGAAATCAAATCTTTATAAAAGGTCAGGTATGTTTTTTAAAATATATTGTGTATTGCCAATGTTTTAAATTCAATTGATTGAAATTCCTTCCTTCCTTTCTTTTGCTAGAAGCTTTCAGGACTTGACTGGTTGCATTGCACCAATCCATTCTCTTACTTATAAGATTGCAAAGAATGAAAGTAGAGTTTTTCTGAAATAGACCTTTGAGATGTCCATTGATTTGGAGTGTGTTGAAAGAGAATTTAGTTTTCAGTCAGCAATGAAAACCTTACTTTTTTCTCTCAGGATTATTAAATTCATTAGGTCACTTATTGAAAATTTTAAAATTGTGTATTTTTTTAAATTAATTTTTCTTTGCATTTAATTTGATACATTTTTGCACATTATTATAGGAAAAAGGACTGTTTCACAAAAACAAGAGTCGGTGTGCTCTTCAGCAAAAAAGTCTTGTTTCAAAGTTCCTGTATCACAGCTTGGCAGTAGCACAGGCACAGAGCGATGGTCCAAGTGAACCTGCAAAACCTGCAAATCAAGAGGCAGCTGTACCAATACCAGTAACTGTGGTGGGTTAATATTGCTTTTTTATGTAATTATCAGGGCATGGATTCTGATGATCTAAATAATCTTTGAAAATTATGTATAAAATGACTTAAAAGTAAGAGAGAAATAACATAAATGGCTTTAAAATGAGTGAAAAATGTTCTAATTTTTTAAAAAAATACTCAAAGTTGAATCAAAATTTTTATTTATTCAATTAATTTTACAATTTGAAATATTTATTTATATAAAATTATACTTAATATAAAAGTCTTTATTTGAGGAGGAAATATATTCCTTAGCTCATATATTCCAACCATCAGTTTCAAAAGGCCGAGGAAGTTACCTAAGATATATGTAATTTTCTGAGGTCGAAAAACAGTCCACTGCAGTAGTGAATTTCATTAACAACTGATGATACAATAAAAACTTTGTTTTAGTCTGTCATTGTAAATTCAGTAACGAAATGGAACATTCAGTAACGAAAAACATGAATAGGAAGCAAACTGTGTAAAATTGACAAACATGATGAAAATATAGGAAAAAACACATACGAATTTTAAAAAATTGCCAAAACTGACAAGGAATGTCCCAACAACTATACATGTCTAGAACATATGTTGTAATCAACATTGATTTACAAGTTGGTTATATTTAGAACGAACCAATGAAAAGATGACAAGTCTTCAGAATTAAAGCCTTGGTAATTATTGAACCATTCATTAATAATTAATTGTGGCAAGTTTTGTGTAGAATGTTCATGTTTATAAATGGTCTGAATAGGGTGGAAAGTGTTAATACAAAGTGATTTCGTTTGTTCATTTTGCCTGTTCAAATGTAAAAATAAAATGTGTAGTCCTTTAGAATGATAGCTTTTGAGCTTCACTGGAACTTAACTCCTTTCCTTCACCTCTGATAGTTTTTACTTCTATTTACATTTATGTCAATAACAGTTTAGAATATTTGAGGGGAGTGGGCAGAAAAAACTCCTGTACCATCCAAAGGAATAACAAGGTTTTCCTCTGCAGTTGTTCCAAAGCTAATTAGGGTATTGGATAAAACAATTTTTGGGGGTTGTCCTAAAAGCAGTTTTTTTTTATCACTTCAATTGTCAATTTTTTTTGTTATAAGTAGCATGTATAAAAGATTCGGGTTTTCATAATTTGATATATTGGCTAATTTGCATAATTATAAAACAATTATTTTCCTTTATTGAATGTAGTAAGTTCCATTTTTGAACATTTCTTAGTGCGTAGATTCCTTAAAAGTAGTTCTGGCGCAGAAAAGGCTTACTTGTTTTGCTGAAATAATTTGAATTTTAATTTGTTATTTGTCTGCTTTTTGCTGATTTCAGGCTGACCCTCCTCTTCCAGAGCCTAAATTAGAGGAAGAAGTCCCTGATCCAACTTCCAATCATAAATTTGCCCGCAATGTAGTATGGACTTTTGAAGATATTCAGATGCTGATTGGAACTAACCTTCCCATTTTTGGAGGAAAGACCCATCCTTGTATCAGCTTGAAGTTGAGGTATGTTACAATAACTTGATACTCACTTAATGTGTTTTGTTATTTTAAATTTATTTTCAGAATACTTCAAATACCGTGTTTACACAACTATAAGAAGACCACTTTAAGACCACTGCTTAATTTTAAAGAGGCCTTCTGAGAATTTTAAAAATTTTTAACTCCTTAGTATTTAGTGAAAATAAAATACAAATTGTCTAACCAACTAGAAAATTGACTTGTTAAATAGAAGGTTAATTTTTTTTGCCTGAGCTATTACTATTTTGTTGTTCCTTAAAATCATCGCTTATTTCACAATTGTCAGTACCGTCTTAGTTTTCTTCATATGTACCATGTTTCTTCCTTCCTGATCCTCTTGACTTACTAGTCCTCCCCCCTGAAAGTTTGGTATATTGAATATTCTTAAATCTTTGCAATGATGACACTTAGGAATATTCACTTTTGTGTTAACAGAGTTTTGTCCTGCCACACAATTTGTTCATGACTTCTGCTTCTTTAACAACCACTGCTTCTTTAACTTTAAATTTGCTTTTAATGAGCTCTAACCTAGGAAGTTGAACATCTCTGTACCTCCGTTCCGGAAGTCGCACGTGAAAGAACAATGAAGTTACTGTCTAGAATTTTTTCGCTCTTTCTGTAGTTGGATGTGAAAATGCTTAATTGCATTAAGGTAATTTTTTGTCATTCCACTGCAAGCAAAGCCCATATTTGCTATCACCACTCACATCAAGTGCCTTTAGTGGCCACATCCTGTCATGCATTGCATTATGTAACAAATTTTTGGTATTTTTATCCATTTTCATATTGCATTTCATGTACTACAATGCTGTTTGTTCGAGATTCTCTCTTTAATGACCCATTCAAAAAAATTGGTCTGAATCGACAGTTTTGCTGTGGGTGCCAAAAATGCATCCATGAATATAGTTAAGTATTGTTAATGTACCAAATTCCAGAGGTGAATATTGTATTTGTTTTCTAATAGTAAGTGAATGACTTGGGGTGTGTGAGTATAATTTACTCGCTTACATAGTATTTAAGGAGCCCCAATACAGTAGTATCCTGACAGCTAGTCTCATAATAAAATTGTTAAACAATACTGTCTTCAATATTTATTATTATTTTTCAAGCCTTTTAATAAAATTGTTTAGCTACATTGTAATCACTAATCGCATAATTTACAACCTTTTACCTGTAGAAATTGTTCTCTTGTGTAGTGAGTAAATTTTATTTATCACTAGCAATAAGTGATAAATTTCAACACTAGTATTCCGGGTCAAAAGTTGATTTAACATGAATTGAATTGTATGCATGGTATAGAGAGAGAATAGTGAGGGATCATTGATATTCGATTGAAGGCTATCCATTTTTCTTTGACTTCAGTGAAAGTGACATCAGTTTCTTTTAATTTCTCTGAGAAAATTGATTTCAATTTTGACTATGTATGAAAATATTTTTTTTTTTTCTAATAATACAAATATTGAATATTATGAATTATTGTGCGATATAGTAAGGAATTTTTGTTACAGAGACATGACAAAACCTATAAATGTTCTCACTGGAATTGATTATTGGCTAGATAACTTAATGTGCAATGTTCCTGAGTTGGTAATGTGTTATCATTTGGATGGCATTGTTCAGAAATATGAATTGATCAAGACTGAAGATCTTCCTCATTTGGAAAATTCTAAATTTTCCCCAAAGGTGATACGTGATGTAGCACAGAATATACTGTCATTCTTGAAGTCAAACGCTACTAAGGCAGGCCACACTTACTGGTTATTTAAAGGTAAAAAATATTCTGGAGACTATATCACTGAAGTTAAAAGCAAATTTCTTACAGAATATATGTTTTTCACCATTGAATTATAGTACTTGTAGAGTACTGTTGTACATTTTGTTTTGCATGTTGAAAACCTCTATTGTTTTTCACATAATTGTCTTTTCATTTGACTTTTTAAATTAATGATTTCCGTGATTTTTGATGTGATTATTTTTGATGTGATTTTTTTGTCATAGGGAAAGATGCAGAAATTGTGAAGTTGTATGATCTGACTTCACTTTGCAGTGAAATGATGGATGAAAAGGGTCAGAATCCTTTTACTGTTCCTGTGGCTATGCTACTATATAGGTAATTTTTAGAGAATAACACATGCAGAAAAACAATCAATTCCAATTTATGAGTATGTTGTTAAGAAAAATTGGAGCATTTCTTCTTATTTTTCATTTAGCCTTTTCTTTTGTTCTGTGTATTCCAAAAATGTACACGACTAAAAATAGAAATATACTGATACAGGCCAATTCTTAGAGATGTACACTGAATATTTGAAACCATTGACTGAGTAGTTTCTGCAATGGAATTTTACAGATTGTTGGATTTAAGTAAGGAAATCAATACTGTTAGGGGTCAAGGTGACTCAAGGATAGTAGGAAAGAAGAGAAAGTGGTTAGCACAAGAGAATGCTTTTTGCAACCACTGGTTTATTGATAACCAGGAACATGCACATCAAGCAAAAGAAACGGTAAAATGTACAAAATTAAATGTTGATTTTCAGAAAAAAACTACAAATATTAGTGGAATGTTTTGTCAAATGTACAGTTTATAAACATCCAAAAGTGCTTCATGAATTCAACCCATTAGCATAATACATCAAAAATATCATGCTAATAAATAACTATTATGGCATACCTAGGCATATACTATTTTCATATGTCAAAGTTGTTTTTCTAGTATTTTTACGTAATTAAGATTCCTCGTAAACATTCTTAAGAACTAGACTCGCTCAAAACTGATGAATGACTGCCCTTTTGGTGAGCTCACAAGAGGAGGGAGAAGTAGTGGTAGACGGTCACTATGGTATGAATAAATTTAGAACGTAGGTGAGAGTTGGGTGTGGAGAGGGGTCAGTTTTGTCACATATTGCATTCTCTACCATATGCCCTCAATACTAACTAGGCAAACAAGAAAGGAATTTTGATAAACTCGTAATAAGTGAAAGAGAGATAATAAATACGAAACTCACCTTTTCCGATTCTTTGCCAACTATTCCCAAACTACTGTTATGACAAAGTAGCAAACTTCGTAAATATTTATTTGAGAACACTATATCATGTGCACTATCAACAAAAAATGCAGTGTTATTTGTATAAAGTATTCAGATTTGAACTCTTTATGTATTTTAGTTAGTTTTAAGAGCACTATATTTTATATTCTGATATTGTATATTTCCCACAAACACGCACACCTGCTGACAATTACGAAAAGCTGTATGATAACTTACTATTAGTGAGCCTTGTGGCAAAAAGTTGTGACTGATTAGGTTTTTATTGACCCAGAATTTCGTAAAATATTAGTCAAGTATCAGTAATAATGAGGTGTGTTTAGTAATAAAATAAACTCACTTTTGAGACTTTTTTATTTTATTTTTTTCCCCCAGTTTATCACCATATAACATAATATATGATTGATCAGACAGATTGCTTGATCTAGTTTTTTGTCATTTTTCTTCTGTAGTGAAGGAGTATATTCTAATTTTTTATCCAGATTCTTATCACCCACTTCTTCTGATAGTCCAAATTATATAGGGTGTCCAGGGAATAAGGACGAATATTAAAGTGCTCTAGAACATAACATTTAATGAAAATGCAATTTTGTTTTTACAAACACATTAAGTAACTTCTCCCATTTATGTATGAAAAATTATATCCCCCATATGACCACCCAAGGCCGCGCGGCAACGAGCAATGCGTTCATTGAAGTTAGCGATGACGCGTTCACAAACATCGGGTGGGATGCCGTTAATAATCCTTGTAATTTCATTCTTCAATTCGGTTATTGTTCGTGGTTTGTTCACGTACACTTCTGATTTCACAAATACCCACAAAAAAGTCACAAGGCGTTAGATCATATGATCTGGCAGGCCATTCCTGGTTGCCACGCAAAGAGATAATTTTTTGAGGAAACTTTTCATTTAGCAGAGCAAATCGTTTCACGGGATGTGTGACATGTTGCTCCATCTTGTTGAAACCTAAATCGTCATTTTCCATAACATCCAAAACTTGGAAAAACCAATCAGAAAGCATATTCCTGTACCGACCTCCGTTCGCAGAGATGGCAGCTCCCGCATCATCTTCAAAAAAGAACGGGCCGATCACGCCTCCTGCCCAGAACCCACACCATACGGTCATGCGTTGTGGCTGCATCTCATCTTCCACAGTCACTCGCGGATTTTCATTAGCCCAAATAGTGCAGTTCGGCTTATTGACGAATCCACTGATGTGGAAGTGTGCCTCATCTGAGAAAATTATTCTTTTTGTGAAGTTTTTGTTCTCCGCTTGTCGATCCAAGACCCATTGAGCAAATCAACGTCTTTTTCCATGATCTGCAGGCTTCAACTCTTGTGGAAGTTGAATCTTGTACGCATGCATTTTCAGATCTTTTGAAAGGATGATATGCAGTGAACTTGGTGATAAATTCAATTGTTGAGCTCGTCAGCAAACCGATTTTCTGTGTCTTATGGTCACATTGTCATGCACGGCAACAATGTTTTCTTCATTTCAAACAGTACGCGGTCGTCCTGTTTTCTTAACGTTTGACACAGAACCCGTGGTCTTAAACTTCCGAATCAACTTCCGAACTGACGATTCTGTTGGAGCAGCATTATGTCTGAGTATCACACGCAATTCACGAACGGTTGCGATGGGACTTTCACTGTTCTTGTAATAACTTTTTATCACCTGGATGCGTTGCTCAGTAGTCATCTGCTCCATGATGAAAATAAACATCAAACAACAATGCTCACCACACAAAATCTATCAGGATACTAAGGGGAAAGATAACAGATAACAAACATGATAAAACCAGGGTTGAGAATCGTCGTATGATAAAATGGTGCAAAATAGAAATTCGTCCTTACTTGCTGGACATCGATTATAAATGTACTGAATTGTTAAATGAGGCATGTGCTACGTACGCCGGTGATATTGATTTACTATCTCACTCAATTCATTCTTTATGTGGTAAAGATTTAGAGTATGTTAATGCCATCCATTATATGTAATTTATGTATACAAATCATGTAATAATCATCTTTTGCCACTGAGGGGGGTGCCTCCCACAGCCTCCTGGAAAAGCCTAGCCCTTTTTTATTATTTCTTGACACTTGATTCATTTGTGCCTGTATCAATTCAATATCATCACAGTGATAATATTAGGGCGGCAAACGAATAACTGACTTTGTGCTTCGCCACTTCGTTATTCACATATTTGGGAAATTGAGGCTTATTTCTTGCAACATCAAGTTTTTTTCTTACCTTGCTTTTCTATGGTTCTGATACCACATTACAATATGATTGTTTCTTGCATGCCGTGATGGGTGTCCTGTTTATAACAACAGAATGGTATGGTGTATTGTCTGTTTTGATAATGAACTGCTTGTATAAATTTGAGGACAATTGTACATGCAACATCATGCACAATTCTGCATACGTTATGCTCTTAAAACACAGTTCACACTCGACTCTACAATTCGCACAGCTGGTTAACCACAACATTCAAAGCATGCAATTCATATCTGGCCTAATTTTAGGTAACAACAGAGTGGAAATGCCGAAACTGTTGATTTGCTGTTCACTTAGGTTACTAACCACTTAGATTATGATCCTGGTTTGTGATCACAAAATGTCAAGTACACTCTAATTTTATTCGGATCTTAGGTAGAAGCAACACTGGCACTATTAAATGAAGTGGCAAAGACCAACATTATTTTTGCTGAGAAAGTGACTTGAAATACCCTAGTTTTTTAATTGCAAAATTAAACAAGTACTATTTTCTCTATGTAGGGTGGCAAGGAATATGAAACATTCACCTGATGGACAGAGACAACACGGCACTATTCGGATGTTGCTCAAGAACTGTATAGAGTTACTTGATAAGGAGAAGTATCCTCAGGTGAGTTTTTGTTTAAGAATTTTAAAAATTTACAAACTTCTTTTCCTCCTCTAATAAAAATCTTTCTTTGCCATCCCACAGATAGTGACTTCAGCCCACTACATGCTGTCAGATCTGTACATTCCAGCTGACACAGATCCCTCGTCACCTAATTTGGCTGAAAATTTGGACGATGAGAGAAGTGCTTCTGAGTATGATGAAGGGGATGAGGTAGAAGAACGGGAGGATAACAGGGAGGGGGAAACAAATTTTGGCTCCAGTAGCAGTGTGGACGTGAAATCACTCTGTGTTGCGACTTCATTCCCTGCTGGTGATTCAGCTCCTCCTCCACCTCTAAGTGGGGATGTGAAGGAACGATGCAACTCTGCACTGGAACATGTTGGTGCAGGACTGCAGTGTTTGACTCTGTTTGGAACCAAACCAGAAGATTCTTCAGAGCACTGTAGTGCGAGCTATGATGTGAGTTTGTTGCAGAAGGTGGGCAGTGATTCTTAGCTGTTATCTTTGGGCAGTCAGGTTGCGAACAGCTTATACTTTGAAATTATTTGTTTTCATATTTTGTACTAGCAAAAAGATCAGTCTCTGTCAGATATGTCTTTAAATTATTTTACTTGTAAATTTTTGCTCACATGAAACATGGTGCTTGCCGCTCCAACTTCTCCCTCTTCCATGAATCATATACACCTTCTCTGACCCGTTAATGTTCAGAGGGCCCTGGCAGTGGAGAAAAGAAAGACTAGAGACAGGAGTAGGATTTTTTGTTGTTGTTGTTGTTGTTGTTTTTGTTGTTGAAAGAATCCTGCAAAGACTAATGTTATTAAATAATTAGTTTTCCAGCAGCAACCTTTTCTCTAGAAAAATACAATTACAGCTAAATTAAACCTAGAAAGTTGTAGTTTCATGTGATGTAAATGCAATGTTTGTAAAAATATTATTTAAGTATTTAAAATTGATTTTAATTTTTAAAATACAAATTTTTGCATTAGACTAACATTTGAAATTTATTTTAAAAATACTCATGTATTTCTACACTGATCTGCCTGTCAAATTTCAAAATGGGACATTAAGAAAAAACTTTTTAGAAAGTATGTTAGCAGCGCACATATGCTGTCTGCTTGCTCCCCCAGCGGAGGCAATACTTTTCCTTCAAATACTTAACACATTCACTAAAACGACTTTATGGTTGTGTAAACATTTTATAATCAAACGACAATCTAATCTCTACTCTTTAAGTTTATTTATGAACAACTGACACCTCTGGGTTGTCCCTGCAACAGGTAGCACCTTCTTTCTCAGGTATTGTGAGTGAGGTGTGTAAACAGAGGTAACTGAGGAATGCGGGCATTATTCTGTGAAGTTAGTGACCATGGATTGCCTTGCAAAAATATAAATACTATTGTTATTTTCATTATATTAATATAAAAACCTATAATTGCAGAAGACTTGTATGTTTACGTTGTTACAACCAGCATTCTTGAGAAGTAAAAAATTGACTGTGTACTGGAAGAAAGAGAAAAACATTAAATAAAACAATTTCCAAATTTTCTTTTCTTGACAAGTTAAATGAAGTTTTTTCAAGAAAGTGTGAATTGTCCAAACTTGTTTATGTCACAAATATATCGGTCAGTGACAATGATTAACTGTGCACAGCTTGTTTTGGGTAATGCACGCTCACCCTACCTTAAAGATATATCAAAATCATAATAAAGAAACTAAGAAAAGTTAGTTCACCTCCTATTTGATGTATTCACTTGTTGTTTGCCACCTTTTTGTTTTCACCAGGCAAAAATTATTCTATGATGATATATCATCCTATCTTGAGATATGTCCACCCTTGGTGAAATTCTGTCAGCTTGCCAATATCTTTCCTAGCTTTATTAAATTTTAGCAGTGGGAAGTGTTCAATTATTTTTAAATAGTTTAAGGACAGCAGTGAAAAGTGGTTCTTGGGAAGTTTTAGAGATCAAATAATCAAAATGAATACTTAAAAGTAATTATTTCCTAGCAAAATTTAAATCGACTGTCCAGTAGCAGTGAATTTTTTAGATTTGGAGTTTGGTTAAATTTACAATGTATTTTAATTCATGTCCTTTTTTTCTGGATTAATTTTGCAGAGAAACAATTCAAATCGTGAGCCAACAGAACCTGATGGTCCAAGTATGGCTAAGCCTTTTGAAGCTATACCCATGCCATACACGCCTTTGAAAAGTCAGAAACAGGAGAAGGAAAGAAGCTGCAGTCCCAGTAAACAGGTGCCTTCCACTAGTTCAAGGAAATCCAAAAAGGATACCAGTTTTGAACAAGATCAAAATTCTCCTGAGGTCCAGCTTTCTCCTCGATCTCTTCTGTGCAAATATCGTGCTGAAGCTATGCCCACATGGCAGCAGCCTAAACCTAGTGACAAAGTATTCTGGAGAGCACATCTCAAGATTTTATTGCATGAAAAGGCATGCTTGGTTTATGCCACATTAGCAGAAAGTGAATACAGTGCTTCAAGGTACGGCAGTGCTTTGCGATACATTGGCATGGTACTCCGATGTCAGCAGCAGTTGGAAGTTGTTGCTCAGGGTACTCTGAATTTAGGACTACAAAGTTATCTCTTGGGTCGAGCTGGAGATTTATGCTTTATGATTGTACAAGACTGGGCAAATGTTACATCTCACCGTGAAGAATATAGTGTATTATCAGAAGTTGACAAGGAAGTCTTGAATGAAGTAGAACGTGATGGATCTTCATCAAACAGTTCTGATTATTGTAAGTTCTTCAATTTCTCTTTTTCCTTCGACAAACTAACTTTTAGTGTAGACTAAGTCCAATAATTGAATGGATGTCGAGAACAATTGTTTGCTAATGTTTTCATGTACTGTTTTAGTGTTGGAGCTTGTTCCTCAAACCATTGATAGCATGGAACAAATGCTTCTAGCTAGTAGAAGTTGCTATCAGCAAGCTTTGCTTCTGGAGCCTTTAGAGCAACAGTGCAGTAATTTAAGACGTCGTCTTGGAAATATTGAAAATGAACTTGGTGTACTCTTTATGAACCAAGCTGCAGGTATTGTGAAAAGTAAAATACATTTTCTGTGTATACATTTGTTGATTTTCACATTTGATAAAAAGTAGTGCTGTCTACCCTTTTTGTTAATTATATGAAAAATGATGTCTACAATTGCAGAGGTAGATCCAGAGTAGGAGGGAAAAATTGGGATTTTTTTCTTCTGCACCCTTCTTTATTTCAAAACAACCACACAGTTTTTTCAGAAATTATTTAAGTAATTAATGTAATTAATAGTGATTGTTTTGAAGTAGTAAACATTCAGTATATACAAAGCAGTAAATTCAAGTATCCAGTCTTAAAAAGGAAAAATTAAAATGTTGATGTAATAATTTTATTTTTGACTCGTAGTGACTTTCTAAAAGTTCCTATCCTAAAATATGAATTATTTCTGGATTGGCCCCTGCAAATTGTGAGTAAACGTAAATAAAATGGCATTGTTTTATTTGTTATAATAGTTTACATCGTAGCAATTGATTGAAATTAAGTACTTTATATGTATCGTATTTACCTGAATACAAGTCGTCCCTGAATATAAGACAACCATCTAATTTTGAAGAAGCTTACTGAGATTTTTTATTTTTCAACTAATTCTTACTTTTTATTCAAAATAAAATTACAAATTGCCTTATTGACTACAAAATTACCTTGTTGATAAAAATATTAGTCTTATTGCTGAATTATAATTTCTTGTTCTTTAAAATTATAATCATGATTATTGTTACTCTCATCATCTTCACATGTATCAATGCTTCTTTCTTTTTGGTCACCTTTCCTTCGACATCTAACTTTTTTGGCCTATGAAAATTTTGCGGACCAAGGGCCCCTTTTGACTTGGACACTGCGACGCGCTTCCGGTAAGCGGCAAGGCGCTTCCCATGCCGCCAACGCCGTGGGAGGGGGAGGATTGTACGGGAGTAGGTTTCACCGACCCTTCGGCGACGTCGAATAAAGAGACCGCAGGTAAAACGCCGCGATGAGTAACCAAGTGGAAAGACTTCCGTTTAAACCAATGCTTAGCTAGCGGTGGCGCGGACGCCGCCCCGGCCGGGTTGTGGCGAGCACCGGTTGCCGAAAGACCATTGCGAATCCGCCACAGGTGCGAATCCGCCATAGGTGGGAACACCTGTATATAAAGCAATGCTTTTCTATCAGTGGTGGTGTTCAGAAGCGTGATGCTGTGTGTACGTGTTAAGTTCTAAATTCGCTTTGTTCATAATCTTTCATCAGGTGCCACCTAAGAAAATTCCCTTCTGTGTCGCCAGATTTTCTATCTGTCCCGCACTTGTTGATGGCCTCTGTTCTGCTCCAAACGCAGATTCGCATTTGCCAGGCGTAGAACAGATTTCTCGTGGGCTCAGCGAACTCTCATCGTGAAACTAAATATCGGCATTCATTTTCACTTTGTTTCATTTGATACAACGCCGTTGGTGTTATGATTCTCTCCTTACCAGCTCATCCAAAAATATTGGTCTGAATTGCGAATATAATTACATATTGTAGATACGCACGATATTTTTACTCTTTCAAAGTTTATTGGTACGTCAACATTTTTGAGTTTCATGATATGAAATGGCAATAGAAAACCGCAAACCCTAACTGAGTAGGCTTAATTTGCAAATATACCCCGCAATTTTTGACTGAGATATGAAGAAAAAAAAACTCATCTTAAATTCGGTAAATACGATATCTGCATCAATATACCTTAGAAAAGTTATCTTTTGTTACAGAAACTTTGGGTGTAATGTTTTATAACCAATAAGTGACATACTTTATGGATGTTGTTTAGTTAATCCTGAAAATACAAAATTGTAATTTTAGTGGTGTGGGAGGTGGTTATTGTAAGACAGTTCTCTAATAATGTTTGTCAACTGTGTTTTTTTAATTTTATCAGTGTGCTACCAAGAAAATGGGTTAGAGCGGCAAGCAGGTACCAGTTCTGCTCTCCAAGCTTTGCTTAACAAATCTCTGCATCATCTTGAAAGTGGAGTCCAAGCATTTGAAACCGTCCATGATGAAGCAAACTTGGCATTGCTTCTCTCTAATACTGGTCGTTTAATGCGCATGTGTGCACACTACCACTCACCTGATTCAAGCAGTCGTTCAGAGCTTGGTGGTCAGGAAAGACATTTCTATCAAAAGGTAATTTGGTTTTTGCTTATAGTTTATGAATATGAGGCATGTGGGACTTCTGATTTAGAGCAAATTTTCTTCTTCGGTCAATTGAGTTTCAATTTGTTCTGAAGATTTTTCTCCTGCATACATGAAAACTAACTGTAAAATTGGTCTCCTATGATCATTCTGGATGGAGATTCTGTAATAACTGATCCAGGTGAAATCGCTGCTTTTCAAATAATATTGAAGTATATTCAGTTCAATGTAAAGGTCTGTTACCAACTGTTGAAGACAGATGCACAGCCTAGATAGTGAGTGGATTGATCCAAGCTCATCCACAAATCATGATATTATCCCAGCTATGTAATGGAAAAACTGCACATTACAATTGAAATTTTAAAGAATATTCAGGCAACACAGCATATTAGAGTTAAATGAATATTCAAACTAGAGACAAACATTTGTCATCTGGGTGATATTATAGAAACTTTTATATATAACATTCCTGAATTTAACTTTTTCTTTTTTCTTTTTTTTTTTCTTCACAAGAGCTACAGAACCTAGGCTAGGAAATACATAAAGTTCAAAGAAAAAAACGAGGTTAGGACAATGTTCTTACTTTATTGTGAACCAAGTTATTAATGCATGGAATATAGATCCAGATGACTGCATTACAATTGAAACTGAACACCTTCAAGAATAGTCTGGAAAATTATTTTGCAATTAAATTATCTTAAATATATTCATGTGTGACCACAGGGACGGATTGTAAAATAACAAACATAATTGTTATTATATTATATTATTTTATATGTTATTTTTGTAGTATATATGATGCTCAGGTCAATCTAGACAATTATTAACAAGTACAAGTGATTGTATACGTTACCATTGGGGAGATATGAGAAACTTCTACTGTCTTGGCTAAAATACTGTAGGCTATTAATAAAACCAGTGAGGATATGAATTTCTGGCTTGAGAAGATACTAAGAGACTTAAATATTCGTGAGGTAATTTCGACATATGTTGGTAAATTAAACTCTACCTTATCTGTTATATCTACTTGTCATGATGATATGGATTAAAAGCTCAACTGGGTTAGTGATGTATCTTCTGCTAATCAATTGAGAATTGGTGAACTTGCTAATCAAATTCACAAAACAGAAGATTTCACTCTTAAAGAGGCATCCGAGAGAAACTTATGTTGCTCCAATGTAAATATATTTGGAATACATTATGAAAGTTCACCAACATCACTGCAGTCAACTCTATTGAGGAAGAAGGATAAATGTGTGATTGATCATCTCTTTAGATCCATTGTTTTGAGAGATGAAATAAAAATTAAAACTTTCTATCATCTCGGAAAGTTTGTTTCTAACATCTCTAAACCTCTTATGGTCTTTTCGTTTTAGTGAAATTATAATTTTGTTTATCAAGGAGAAGCACAAGATTTTCTTCAAGCATTTTGGAAGTGTTGGAGGGATTGAACTGTCAAGCCAGAACTAGCTGCATTGACTGCTTCCCTGGATCACACTCCATAGCAAACTGAAAAAAAATTAATTACCTACATGCGGAGCTTATGATGAAGCCGGAAATCGAGAGAAGAAACCTTGTTGTTCAGTTTGTTAGAGATATTCCAATGATTGTTAAGAAACGATGAAACAACCCCCGGTGGTACTGGTAGATCAGTCTTAATTAGCCAACATAGAGAGGTTCTAATTCGCTGCTATTATCCGAATGCCAGAAGTATAGTAAACAAGCAATGCATTGGCAATAGTGTTAGTATTATCATAATGTATCCCATCCAAGTGCATAAGAGTTCGGAAGACTTTTATTACATTTTTGAGAATTAATTTATTTCCAGAAGTTTGCGATACTTGAAGTAATGAATTTCTGTAGACGAATATTGTATGCAGCAAAATCTCTGGCTGCCAGTTTTATAAGACCATCTAAGGTCAGAGAAAATGTCATAAAAAATCTTGTGAGCCAGAACTCTTACAATTTAAATGAGTTCTCTTCTTCAATAGCAAGGTTTGCCTCGGCTCACCGCTATACCAAATAGGAAATGTAGATTGATTGATATTTCTTCTGGAAATAGGCCTCAAAACAAATGTATAAATAGAAATAAAAACATGATACAATTTCGCAAAAATTGGTGTTCATTAATAATGGTGAATTATAAAGATCACACAAATGGTAACAAATAGCATCATAATTTACTGATTAAAAATCGTATCTCCAATTCCCATTTGGCGTAGGTATGAAGTCACTATGCAAGATAGACTCAATAGCTAATGGCGGATGATGTGCATCAACGTTTTCTAAGGACACTCTTGAAGGCAACAAATCTAACTGAAGCATTAGAGAAAATTAAGTCCAACATGTTTTAGTTAATGTTATGGATAGTGTTGTGCTAAGATAAATTTAAAAAAAAAAACTACATATGTCCATCCGCAAGTACTCTAGCACATTCTCTCTCTCTAAACCAGTATCCTGAACTGCACATTCCTTGAAACCTCAAATTATAATCGCCATGTTAGCTATTTACTTCTATATACCTTGAATTATTTAAATCTTAACCATATTAATGATATTCTAAATTGCAACAAAAAATGATTGGTCTTTGTTCATGATATCTTTAGTATCATTAATTGAAAATTCAAATTGTCCATTGGTACCACATGATGGCTTTCATCCTGCACTAAATATTATTTTAACTATTAATGATACTATTTCTTCTGATTATAACAGAATGGAATACAATTTTTTAATCGTGCTAATTTCACTGCAATCAATGAAGAACTATTCAGTTTTATTTGGTATCCTCCATTTTTTTGAAATACTTTTGAGGCATCAATTGATATATTTTTTGCTAAATTATATAATTTGATTGATAAAAATATTCCTTAAAGAAAAATAGTTTCTTATTCATATTCAAATAGGTATTCAAAGGAATTTGCGACAAATGTTTTTGATGCAAAATATTTCTCTAAATTCAGAAATAAAATAACTTTGAACTATGACTGACTTTCTGATGACTTCTTTGAATCTGCCTTACAATTCAAAGATCTTGGTGTAATGTATGGTTTAATCATCATATGAGATTCAATTTACACATTGATCCTATCGTGAATAAGTCAGATCAAAAGTCAGTTGGGTTTGATAAAAACAATTCTCGAATATCTCTACATCAAAAAAATTTTTCCTAATTTAAGTAAAACCTGTCTTGATGTTTGTTGTTGTTGTTTTTTTATTATTATTTTTTGGTCCCCCTTCTCTCAGAATCATGACTCAAGATTAGAGACAGTTAAGCTCATTTTTTTTGTTTTATTCCTGCGACATGCAAACTGAGCATTCCATCTTCCAGAGTTACTCATGATTACCATCAAATAGCAACCCTTTTGAATAAAAGCTCTTTTTTTGTTTAACTTAATAAACCATAATACTTATGACACAGGATTGTTTTCCAAAATCACATGAATGACACTTGCTTTTAATCTGTGCTCATTAAATTGTTTATTTATTTTTATTTATTTATTTATTTATTTTTGTATGATTTTCCTTTTGCCAGAATTAATATTTTTTATTATGCCCCTTTATGGAAAATTGGTAGGAAAATTGATTGTTTTGAAAGAAATCTTTATTGTTCTCTGACTTCATTCAAAAATATTATAAAAAACATTATTCTAAATGATTATTTTTAATTCTGATGAATTATATCGTACACTTTGTAATTAGGCAATTGCTGTACTCTTGTATGAATAAATTAATGAATAAATGAGATGTGTTAATTTGGAAAGATGTTGCGGTATAAATAGAAGAATATATTGCCGTTACTAAGGATGAGAAAATATGTGCTGTTTTTGCACCACTAATTTTCATTATGATGTAGCAACCATGTAATGAGTTATATAATTAACTAAGTTATTTTATTATCTGTTGAAAAAATTACACTTTATTTTAAAAGTGATGTGTATTTATGTGAAGTGCGTCAATAAATCAAGCTAATATATTCTTTGCACGTAATAGTAACATTGTATTATCCAAGTTCTCTTAAGTATTTGTATTCATTTTTTAATCTTCATTGTTATTAAATCAGATAAATAATTGTAACCTCTCTGCAGGCTCTTACAAGTTATCAGAAGGCATTGCAAGTACTTGGAAATAGGAAATGCAATCCAGATATATGGGATACAGTCATGTGGGAATTGTCTACAACTTTATTCAGTATGGCAACCATCCTTCAAGATTTCCCATCATTAGGAAATAAGGTAATTAATTAAATCGTAGAAGATTTTTCCTCTACACCCTGTACCTTCTGTTACTGCATTAGAACTTCAACTATACGCTAACAAATGTGTTCTTTTCGTAGTCCTCAGAAGAGGCTGAAAGAGAAGTTGTTGAATACCTCCTTAAAGCACTGAAATACTGTGATCTGGAGACACCAGGTTCACGACAGTTAATATATCAGTTTCGTGCAGCAACCATTCATCATCGTTTAGCTTCTCTCTATCATCGTTCTTTTCGAAACCTTCCTGTTGAAGATTCCAAAAGGAAGAATGTCTTACAATTATCTCGTTTACATTATGAGAAAGCAAGCAAGCTTTTACTGCTGCTCGAGCATCCTTCTGATTTCCTACGAGTGCAAATGGAAAGAGTTGCTCTTGTGGAATACCAGGCACAGAGTAAGAACACATTATTGTTATGGATTTTTTTTCTTATCAACTTTTGAAATGAGTAACAAAGTAACTTGTTGTTGTTGTTATTATTATTATGTTGTTATTATTATTATTATTATTATTATTATTATTATTATTATTATTACTATTACTACTATTCTTGTTGTTATTAATCGTTATTAAGATTTTTTTAGATGTACATTATATCCATCTTTAAAAAGAACATTTACCGTATTTACTTGAATATAAGGCAACCCCCTAATTTTGAACAGTCGTCCTGAGAATTTTTTACATTTATAACTAATTCTTACTATTAAATCAAAATATGTTAAGACTCCATGCCTTAACTATTATTTTCTGGTTTTTTGGACCTTGGACATCTTAATTTTTTAGGCCTTTCTGAAAGTTTTGTGTGTTGAATTTATGTAGTTCTTAGTCTTTCATCAGACATCACCTAAGAACATTCCCTTCTGTGTTGCCAGATTTGCTATCTGTTTCGCACTTGTTGATGGCTTCTGTTCCATTAACAGTCCTTTCACATTCTTTAACAGATTAAACTTGAAATTAGCAATGTTTACTTTTCATGTATTCAAGTTGTGAACTGCGAACTAGTACATCTCTGTCCCTCTGTTTTGTGGGTCAAGTGGGAGACAGTGACAAATTTCCTAGTTTGGGAAGTTTTGCTCAGAATTTCTTATCATCCTTTTTGCTGATTGTAAAACACCTTCGTCTATCAGTGTGATTTTTTTCATTTCTGGTTCTTGCAAAGTACCGGGTGTCAAACGAAGATTCCATGTGGCTTCATTGAACCCACATTGTGAAGCAAAATGAGCATTAATTTTGATGGTATGCTTCACTTGCAACAATGCCATTTGTTTGCAATTCTCTCTTTACCTTCTGATACCAAAATATCATTCAGAATTGCCTGGCTAACTCGCAGTAGATGCAGTGAATACAATCATGTATATAATTATGTATTGTAGTTATGTGCAATATTGTTCAGTCTTTCTAGCTTGTTGTTACGACAACATTTGAGTTTAATGAAGTGGAAAGGAAATATAAAATCATAAACCCTAACTGACTAGGCTTAATCTGCCGTATAAAACTATCCCACATTTTTCGAATGAGAACTTATTTGGAAGAACCCTTATCTTATATTCAGTTAAATATAGGATTTGTTGCACAAGTAGTTCAGGTGGAGATCTTATTTCACTAGAAGTTTCTGATCTTATTGATTAATCTTGACATCATATTCAGTCAGTTTAAAAGAAATTATTCAATTAGTGATTAATTTATAATAATGTCAAAAGGTGTCATGCATATTAAAAAGTAATAGTATGAGCTTTGACACCATTTCGGTACACGAGTATTAAGTGCTTTTTTCAGTGTTTCCTATTTATCTCGCAGATGCTACCAGTAATGCAGTTCGCATAAAGCACCTTCAATCTGCAATGGAACTACTTTGTCAATGTATACCCATGCTGCATGTTGTAAAAGAGAGACTAACTGTGGTAGATATGAATGGGAAGAAGAAAAGGCAGCAGAAACATCCATCTGAAGACAGTGAAGCTTCTCTTGCACAAAGTGTACAGAATCTTTGTGTAGATGAGAACAAACAAAAATTTGGTCAAAGAAAGGACATGGCCCCAGGGGTTTCTAAATCTTCTGCAGAAGAAGATTGTGCTGAGAAAGAAGAAATTGAATCACTTTTGCGCTTGTTAGAACAACGATTGCAGTTTGTCTTGTTACAGTTAGCGAAACTTCATCACAGTCGAGGTGGACAAGCTAAGAAAGAGTGAGTACATATATCTACTAAAATCAACTTAAAATAATATTTTAAAATTAATATAAAATACTCTCCTCTAGTGAATTGGTGAAACATTTTTCTTTATTTTTCTTCTGTTCTAATTCACTAACACCCATATTAAGAACTCAATTCCTCGAGTCCTTAAATGTTCACGAGGAACATTTCATGTAATATTGTGGATATGTCATCATCAAAATGTGTTTCTGTCTGTTTAGTTTTATTTGACATCACCAGTACAAGTTTTATATGTTGATATGTCCATCTATCAATGGTCAATGCTACCACGTAAACCCCGAAGGGCTCGACCACAAATTACATAACGGTAAAGAGGGGGAGGGGTTTGGGGCTGTGTTACACTGTGTTTCATAGGGGTAGTTTAATGCTATGTAATGCTGATACTTATTTTAAAATCTTTCAACATTTGCTGAAATAATTTCTTTTATACAGTCTTGTACTAAAACATTATAATATTGACAAATTAAATTAAACACGTAATAAATTAAAGATTGTATAAATTGTTACAATAAATAGAAATAATTTCCAGCGATTGAATCTTTTACATTACAAAGAAAATATTCAATCTATAATGTATTTTAGAATTCAGAAGAGTTGGCCCAGTATACTTGGAGCCTATGCGTTATCCACGACGGCATGTGTATGGCTTGTCAGAAATTTTCTCACATATGCATCGTTCTTGGGGACAAATTGTCCCCAATCTTATTGTTATGTGCAACTGCTTCTCACTTCAATAATTGTAATTTTTACTCTAGATCACAAACGCAATTAATACAATTTGTTTCTGCTTTATAATTGATTTTTACTTATTGCAATTGGGGAGGGAGGTCTTGTACCAAGTAATTATTAGACGAGGGTGTTCAAGCACGCCCTACAGGGGGGAAAGGGGGGTATTCAGAATACTCTAAATTTGCATTACGTAGTTTATGGACACCCCTTAGAAAGTTTTTTCCAAAATGTTTATTCCCCAACCGATTTAAAGAAACTGAAGACCCTGTGAGTTTGAAATTGATATTTGAGGAGGTTCTTTACAGGAAACCTCAACTATATTTTGAAAAGGTTCTCAAAAATGGCTCCAAATTTTTGTATTGAACTTCGATAGCATAAAGGATGCTCAGATGGCAGTTCTCTTTTGTTGAAATCCTTGGGTTTTGAATATTGCAGAAGTTAAAATCTTCCTCCAACTACAAAATTGAAAATAGCTATAGCTCCAAATTTTGTCATTAAATTTTCTTCTTGTATGTATAAAAGGTCAGTAAAACAGTGGCGCTGTTTCCATTTCTGCTGATCTCATTTCAGAAAATTGCAAAACATTATTTTGAAAAACAAGCAGAACTGAACAACTAATTTCTGTTTGAAGTTCATGCAATTTGTACAAGTAAAGAGCAGATCTCATTGTCATTGAACTTTCTGACTTTTAAAAATTGCAAAAATTCAAAATAATGCAAGAAAGTATGTGCTGTTGGAGCTCTACTAGTTAGTTAACCAAAGATGCCAGATATTCCAGGCATTTTCAGGCTATTAAATTACCAACCTTGAGATAGAGAACCTTGTTCTACTGTGCCTCTACTCCGTCATCTTTATTCTTTCTGTTTTACTTTCTTGCATATGTAGTACGAATGTCCCGGGTGATCAGTTTGAAATGCAACCCACAGCAGGCAGAGCGAATTGCACTGGCAACCATGTTTAAATGGATCCAGTAGTGTCTGGAGGTTTCAATCAGGTAGAACTGTCGGGAAGTATGCTCAATCCCCTCTCCCCTTATGCGGTGGTGTAATGGTTAGCGTATCGGACTGTTGTACCCAAGTTGGCGTGTTCAAACACAATCGACGCCGTGGATTTTACTTTCAAAGGTGTATTTGGCCTATGAAGAAACTAATGTCACAAATGAGCAAACAAGCTCAAGTTCTATAGACTTAAGCTTTGGCTCAAATGCTAGTTAGTACCCCAAATACACATTTGTATACATTCCTGTGTGTATAACAGTGACGTCAAGGCAATTGCCACCAGCAGGAGTCCATGGCACTGATAGCATAAGGAAATCACCCCTCCATGCAGTTGATCATCTCCCCACAAGAGAGCAGTAGGTAGTCAGTTGCACTGAACCCTTTTACACTTAACACATGAAATTCAGTTAGGTAGGATTTATATAAATACATTTAAGAACGTTCGTTGTTATTTTTTATTTATATTTTTACTTTTATTTTTCTGTACATATCTTCGTTTTTACATGCAATTCCACCAAGTTGGAAAACTCATAATCTAGAGATCCCGAGACACACATTCATAAACTATTTCTCAAATCTGTATTACTTAATTGAATTCTGTGTTGGTTTTTGAGCAATTTCATTATTGAAAATGTTTCTTCAGTCATAGGCTACCAACCACCATGATCCATTAAGTTTAGAAACTGTGATTTATTGAGCACCTAATAAAATTCTATTAAACGGTCTTTCATTGAAACTACCAGCTCCATTTGCAACGCTGCATTCTCAATATCATACTGATAGTTTCCTTCCCCCATTGCTAGTTGCACTGAGAAGCTTGTGGAATGCCACAGTACCACAGAGCATGCCACTACCACTAGGAGACTTTGACGTCACTGCTCTACATTCCACGCTTGTTCTCTGGGTCTACACCCCCAAGAGGCTAAGCCAATTATTTGGCTTTCTCCACTTGAGAGCTTTCACTTTGTCACACAGATATATGAACTGGGGCATAGCACTGAAAAGCAACAACTTAATTTTTGCCGTGTTGTGAATCAAACCTGGAATTGTCAGGTAGAAATTAAGCTTACTAGCCATGAGCCACCAGGGTTCTATATTTGTCTATATTGGCTGAATGTATTTTATTCACATTTACCAAATGCAGTGAAGAGCATTGGCCAAATTTCTGTAATTTCAATGTCATTGTGATTACGTTGGGAAAGTTACATTGTTTCATGATACAGGCTTGTGTGCAAAAATTCAATGTTATTTATCTTTTTTTACAGTGCCGATAATTCAGCTCAACTGTACAAAAATTTGTACAGCATAGCTTTAAGAAAGAATGATTCTACAGTTGGGTGTGAACTTGCCAAACATATTTTTTATGTGTTGTCAGAGACAGAAAATGCTCTGAGACAAACTTTTTCTGGGACAAAAACTCGGTGACCACTTTACCTAGAATTGCTAGTGCCTCGTGATTTGACTGGACTGTTACTTCGTGTGTTAAAAAGTGCATTTTGCCTCTTGGCATATTGTAATTAGTATTATTTATGAAGTGTATTGAATTTGATGCATTTGTACAAAATGTTTATTGACATTGTATATTACTGTATTATTTATACCCTGTACAAATAAAAAATCTACTTATTTGAAGAGAAATAAGTAAACTTATTTTCTTTCTTCATATTATAAATTGTCTTATCGGATTCTACAACCCGCTTCAGGCCAGGACCGCCTTAACCACTTTCTTTCATTCCCTTCTCTCCCTCGCCCTTCTTCTCCAAAGTGAGACCCTAGCCACTCAGATGTCTACCTCCACGCAATCCATCCATCTCGTCTGTGGACTACCTCTCCTTTTAACACCATCAGGTCTATCGAAGGTTAAGTTTATACAAGGGTCCATCTCATAAGTCCGCCACAAATGTCCCAGCAATCTTAAACATTGCAACTTCTTCACTGTATTTTTGATGAAAATGACGTTTGTTGCGTAAGTTTTCGCAATTTCCTGAAAATCAATGCATCCGATGGAAATATGCTTATCACCAATGTATTCGCCACGAAATTTCGTGCTAGGACTCTGATATGGAGAAGAATTCGTCTGATGTCAAAAAGCCCAAAAACTCAACAGGATCGTTGAATTTCTACACTTCACGACAAAAAAGAACTGCCCTTATCTCACAAACTATGCAAAATATGTCAATTCTTGGATTTATGTTCAAAATTTAATGTAGTTTCAGAAGATGCCATCATTTGCCACATTCGTGTGATAATTGTGCATTCTAGGGTCCTTTTTACATACTCTTGTGTTTTCAGAGATATCTAAAATTTCAAAAATCAGGTCACGTTCGACGCACCGCAGGTCCTAAACTATTAGAGATACAACTTGGATTGGACGTCAAGCTTAGTCTTCCTCTTCGAAAATCATGCGCTTCGTGGTCGTAATTTTAGAGGTGTTTTGTGGCAGTTCGATGTTACGTAAGTTAGAATGTAAATTATTTCATATACATTTGTTCGTTTCTTACATTGGAGCTTTTGTTGTACGTTTACAAATTAATCTATTAGAAATTATTTAAAATCTATTTGAAATAATTACGAAAGAAATATTGCTAGCCTTCAGTCGCCCACTGTCACCCCGTTGTTGGAAGCTACGTAAGTTAAAATGTATACATTATTTCATATTTCATTTTATTATTGTTTATAATATTTATGTTATTTCATTTTAAAATGAATTCTTTATTTGTATTGTATGTGAAAACTAATAGATGGGCGGTCTTAGTTGGTTGTTATCCATTGTTCCACGCCGCACAGATAACAGAAAGCGAGAACGACGGTTGCTTTTCGTTCGCGGTAATAAAAAGCAAACTTTTATATATTCGTAGTATATTACAATATTATATTATTTACTTTGTCGGCCCCGTAGCGCAGACGGTTGCGGCAGCCGTCGTCTGTGCCGAGGAGGCTGCAGGTTCGAGTCCTGCAGACATGGTCGTATTTGTGATTGTCCCTTCACCTATCATCATCATCATCCTTTCATCTCATAACGCACACTTCAAGGCGTAACAACCTTGTTGTAATCCAAGGATACAGCTGAAAAGCTGATCCTGGAAGAATTACACACGTTAATCGTGTAGCGTGGTCAGTAATGGCTTATACGCCAATAATAATAATAATAATAATAATAATAATAATAATAATAATAATAATAATAATAATAATAATAAAAATTAATAATAATATTTACATATTATTTTACTTTCTCGCATACTGCTTATTTTTCGCACCAAATTTTCTACGATTTCGTACGCGTTTTACAAAAAAATATTAGGAGAGAATTTGTGAAATAGTATTACATAACCATTTCTAATGGAGAGAAAGTAAATGCTATTTTAACACCACTACTTTTTAAAGACTTTTATATTGAACACTGTTCCCTATGCCTTGAGGATTTTCTCACTCTTTCATAGTGCTTTAATCAATAACTCAATAAATTTAATTTATAATAAATACATTTTGCAACTGTTTAAACATGTAGGTACGATGTACTGTAGTTATCACAAGGCAAATAATGTTGAATTCTCGCTTTTCAGATTCATAAAAATCATACTTTTCCTCGCGTAACTAAGGATCTAAAGAACTTGATATACTTTTTTATGATTATGTGTGATATTGGTAATAAATTAAAATGTAATAAATCATACGTTGACATTCTCAAATTCTTTCCCTGATGAGAATCGCAAAACTCTAAATATCCCAGTTAACTCTGGCATAGATCACTTTTTTTTTTTTTTGTACGCCACAATTGGCAAGTGTCACAGTTATAGAATGCCGCAAGGAAAAATCCTAATATTTTCTTAAAAAAATACATTGGATTTTTTTAGAAACTGAGCTCAGAAGCGATATTTTTACGTTTACGCGTGAGGATCCACGATAAATAATATCTCTTAAAATTTGAACATCTTGAAATTTTCTCATATCAAATCAGGATGAGCTTCATGAACTACGCGTATCTCCAATAAAACATGACAGCTAGAAAAATTTCAGTTAATTAACGCCTTTTGGTCTATGAAGAAATCGTGAGATAATCCTAGTTGAATAGTTCATTGAATTATCTATTAAAAAGAAAAGGTTGACTGAAGATGTTCTATTTGTACGCCTAAGATTGAAGTTCAAAGTTTATTTTCTGGGTGTTATTTTAATTCAAAAACAAGATTATTTCAATATGCTTTTCGAGAGACCCTTCCATATTAAACTGGTGGTGTTACATCAGTACATAGTTTCTCGCATTGTTTCTAATAGCTCTGCAATATTTTACTACATCAACCTGCAAAAGTGTTTTCAATTGGCACAAAATATGTTCCGCATCGAGACTAGAACTCAGGTGCTGACCTGAATGGCCGATGTCGCTAGAGCGTGTGCTGACACAGCGCCTCGATCTGAAAGGTCGCAGGTTCGAGTGCCGCCGTGGGCATGGTAGCTTGCCCCTTGTCTTTCATGAATGTGTGTTGTCGCGGAAGGCCTTGTGAGTCTGCTTACTACAGAACGCGGAGCCCGCAAGGTTATCTTGTGCCCCCATGAGAGATATAGTGGGTACCTGGCGGGGATTGTCGAAATTGACATCCTCTGAAAATGGAAAACGCTCCAGGATAAAAGAAACACTCAAACTCAAATCCTCCGAGATAACTCGCCGTGCGCCTTACACGAAGACAGCAACTCTGATGAATTAACTCTAGCCGACGCTTAAAAATATTGTTTCAACCCAATAGCCAATTGTTTCAACTCAACACACAATTTTAGAAAATTCAGAGTATTCAACAAAAATGAGATCACCATTATTTTCAGCGTTTCTTATTTTCTCCGTGGATAAAATTTTAAGAAAACAATTAGAGCAGTTTTTGATAAAATGCTCTTTTTATAATTTACAATACTATTAACCATAAATTACGTGAAAACTTTTTTTTTTTAAATATACGTAGCCTTTTTTAAAGAGCTGATTTTTTTAGTACAGATTTTGTTTAAGACAAAAATCTCCATCTTCATTTTTTCTTTTTAAGGTTGCATCAACAGCTAGGTCATTAGCGACCACTATAGATTTAACGCAATGATTAACAGTATGATGTGATGGTGAGGGTGAAAGGACGAACACAAATATAACCGTATCCGAGGCGGGACAGGAACCCGCGATCCTTCAATTTGAAATCGCGACGCAATTCTGTCTTAACGATCCATCCGGACGACCATATTCAATTTTGTAGTTTTGAAATGTTAAAAGTTCGCAATTTTCGAAAATGTTTATTAATGCAATTTTCGAGAGTTTGCCGAAAAATGGGACTAGCACCATATGTTTCTGTTGATACATTCGCAGGAAAAAAATTAAAAACAAGTCTTTCTAAAACAGCAAGTACTTTATCGCCTTCAATAATACCTATGTAATACTATTTATATCACAATTTCTCTCCAAATTAACACATCATATACATATTTTTTTGTAAAACTCAATATTTGTGTTTTGTGCAAAAACTAAATATTTTTAAGCAAGTATCAACACAAATTTGACTATTATAACTGCTTTTCGAACAGGCAAATCATGTCCCAACAATAAGACGTAATTCATAAAAATTAGCAAAAATTGTTGCATTCCATTCTGATATTCCCTGAAGGCTGGTAATTTTTATTTCGTATATTTCAAAAAGGTTTTAAATAATATCTAAAATATTAAGTGTAAACCTATAACAAAAGGTCAAATGTAAAAAAATGAACAAAGAAATATAAAATAATATTCAAAATTTAATTTACAAAGCATCCAACTGCCTTGAATTACGTTCACAAAGCACAATACATGCGAGGAGAGCGATTATGTTTGTCGCCAAATTATACAAAAAATACTCATTTTCAAAAAATTCAACATGATTTTGTTTGAAGTTCAGTTTTCTATAAAAACATTTCATTAAGAAAAAACATTGTTTCTTTACAATTGTAGTTGTAGAAAGACGCCGACATTTTTTTTATTTTCGAAAAATTAGGAATTTTAACGAACATGAGATCTTTGTCATACTCTTAGGAGCCCTATACGCTATCTAGGTCTAAATTTAATCAAAAACTTTTCTGCCGCTTATAAGAAAAATATTGTTTAAAGAAAAAATTCTCTATGTTCGACACAAAATTTCGCCAAAAATACTCATGTGTCTGAAAAATTGAACATATCATTATTTTTAGATCTGTTTCTCTTGAACACGTTTCATAAAGAAAAGAATGGTCATCTTCCCAATTGTAGTTTCAGGAAAATGTCAAAAAATTTGCTTTTATTTTTTTTTCTTCCAATTTTCAAAGAATCAATTTTCAATGAACACGAGGCCTGCACCATTCTCTTAAACCTCCTTCAGACTATCCGACAACAGTTTTCATCAAAAGCGATGGATCCGTTTTTGAGCAAAAAATGGTTTAAACAAAATTACAAATATCCTATATTTCACACACAATTGCGCGAAAATCTCAATTTTTTCAAAAATTGAACATGTTCTTATTTCAAAATCGATTTTTAAGGAACAGATTTTATCAAGGGAAAAATCTCTATCTTAAATATTTTTGTTCTAGGAAGACCCGAAAATCTCATATGGTTAGCGGTAGCGAAAAAAGTAAAAATTGGATCCGTGTTTTGAAAAAAATAATTTAAAAATTGCCTACCTTTCACGCAAA